TGATCGAAAAATATTAAAAATCCAAAATGAGATCAACATTTGTGGCAAGAACTTTAAAGGCGGCGAGGAGCATTCCATTTCCAGAGGTTGCACTCAAATTGAGGATGCGCCGGTTATTCACAGAATTGAAATTCTTTCCTCGTTCGATACACTTTGTGATAGTGCCATAGCTGGTCCTGGCTGGACGGTTATTCAGCGGCGAATCAATGGCTTGGAGAACTTCTATAGGAATCGGCTCACATATCGGGACGGCTTTGGCCGCTTCGATGGTGACTTCTTCTTGGGCCTAGAGAAGATTCATCGCTTGACAAGCGCCCAGCCCCACGAGCTCTACATACATATGGAGGATTTCGATGGGCAGATCAGCTACAAGAGATATGAACACCTTGGGCATAGCTGCGGGCAATGCCACACATGATCAGTTACGTCAACACAAAGATCCCAAGTTCAGCACATACGATCGGGATAATGATAATCTGGGTCATGCGGAGTTCGCAAATGAAAACCAATTCGGGGGTGGCTGGTGGTACGATACCTGTGCTAGCAGGTATAAATGTTGCTTATCTTTGTCAAAATAATTCAAATGTAATTCAAACTTCCTTTTTTTCCCAGCAATTTAAATGGCAAATATTACAATGATAAGGTGATCAAAAAGGATGCCATATTTTGGGATGGGATGGTCTCCTTGAAAAAGGTTCAAATGCTCATTCGCCCCAAAAACTATGGAAAATAAAATAAAATAAAAGTCTAAACATATATACTTCATTATACTTTTGTTAGATTTGTTATAAATATTATTTTTCTTTGCCATCTTTTGGCTCATATATTTCTCATGCAACTCCTTTTGCTACGCTAGACTACAGGGTATACGAACCGTAGCCTACTTATTGGCGTTGCGCTATCTGTCACCTGTTGTGCCTGCCCTGCTTGACTTTATGCTGGCCTGATGTAAATCCTTAAAATCAATATGCAAGTGACAAGCAGCTGAGGCCTGAGGATAAACAAGAAACCCAGCCCCAAGGGGGGACAGCATGTCAGGTGGCAGAGGTGAGGGTCGGGTCTGATAATAGAGGGGCATTTGAAATGGGAATGGGTAGCTGAGAGTTGATACTGAGACGGTTTGTCACAGAGATTTTTGCTTGGAGCAACAGACAGACTGGCAAATTGAAATGACTTAGATTACGTTCAAATTGTCGCTGAATATTTTTTAAGCAGCAGATAATTTTCCAACTAAAGAGGCAGCCGCATTAACAGAGTTTAAACTTAAAGGGAAAAATTATGCTAGATCTTTCAAAGTTGACAAAAACAACTATTTATAGCATGATTATTTAAATAAAATTCCAATTATTGCAGACAGCAGATAAATAGGGAACAACCTCTCTGAAATAATAAAGTCAATGTCAATAGATAGACATTTCGCACTTTACAAAAAAAGAACAATTGAATTTTTTAGGAAATTGTGCATATAAATAAAAGAATTGTATATTGATATAGATATTAAAGAAAAATGTTCAGCTTTTTAATTTAAAGCTGGCTCTGACAACATCTCTCACAACCAAGTTTTATTAAGGTCTTTAGAACTAACAGAAGCTGATGAGAAAAATATTTGAAAATAATGAATAAATATTTTGTAAAATTTATCAACACAAAATGACCTCTTAAGAAATGTAAATATTTAAAAACTATTTTGCCGGAAATCATATATTATTATTATATATTATGCAAGTATTTTGTACGAAGGCATATAAGTAATATGTATGTGTGTGTCGGTGTGGGCGTGCGTGTGTTAGTGTATGCATGCATGTATGTATGCAATTATGTACATATGTGTGCATGCAACTTTGTTTACTAATACCAAACGCAGACCAAGCGTATTTGTCGCTGTGCTGCAAGTTTAAATAAAACGAATTTCTACCAAGTGCTCTTCTCCTCGATTCTCAAGAATTCAAGTAAGCTCCGCAGTTTTTCATGCTTACCTAGTGGTGTAGTCTTTTTTTTTGTATATTTTTTTTTGTTATTTTATGGTATATTTTGTTGTTGTTATTTTTGGTTGTTTTTTTTTGTGTGTATGTTTGTACATTTATATGTCTGTACATATATATATGTATGTTTACGTGTGTACATATACATGTTTGTACATATGTATGAATGTATGTTTTTATGTATGTATGCTGTATATATGTATGTGTGTATATATATATGTATGTATGTGTGCTGTATGTGTGCATGCATGTAGGTATCCGTACATGTATGCGTACATGTACGCATGCATGCATGTTTGCATATATACAAAACAAACATGCATACATGTATGTACAAACAGGCATATGTATGTGTGTACATATGTAGTATGGTTGCATGTATATATGTACGTGTGTGCATATATATGTATGGATGTGTGCATGTATGTAGGTATCCGAACATGTATGCGTACATGTACTCATGCATGCATGTTTGCATATATACAAAAACATGCATACATGTTTGTACAAATAGGCATACATATATTTGCAAACTTAAAACTTTGACCAACAATTCTTTGAATCACATTTCTACCAAGGAAGCTTGGATTCTGCGAAAAGTGTGAAACACGGCTCAAATGATTTTTCCTATAGATCTTTGAAAATAATTTTGAACACGAAACGTCGCCCACCAAATCTTTCTACCTTTATGTTTGACTTGTGAACCTAGTCTTAGGCAGCCCCTAACCCAGGGTTTGATTCAAAAGTTGATTTGATATATGTATATTTCCTTAATTTAATGCAGCAATTCGATTTGTAATTTATAATTGCCCGTTCTATTGAAAATATTTCAAGCCATAGATATTTTCATAAAGAAGTTGAGGGCTAAATTCGTTCTCTACCCAAAATTTGAATCTACGAAATATGATAGATAAATCCAATAATGGGGATGCAATTTATTTGGGAGAGGAAAAATTGGATAAGAATCGCCCTGAACTATTTTTTTTTATTTTGAACCAAACCATGTTTTGAAAAAAAGCCTGGCTTTGGCATAAAATAAATATGAATGTCGGGTTCGAGCCGCCCAGCCGGTTCGAACCAAAGTGCAGCCTTGTTTTTTATATTTTTGTTATTTTGTTATGTTATTTTTATGACCATCAACTAATTTAAGATCTTAAAACATAAAAAAAAGCTATAGTCAACGTATAAAATCAACATTTTAATAGGAAATTGTGCAAATTTTTGGTTATTTGCCTAAATGCTCGTAAATTTATTAGAGCTTAGCTTGGCTCGCTAAAAACGTTCCATAATAAGCCCAAGGCTCACATGTGTGTACAGCCAATTTTCTTTGATTAAAGGGATTTGCAGAACAACCAAAAAAAAAACAGGATAATAAAATGTGGTTGGGTGGGTGAAAGTCAAATGATAAAATAAAGAGCAATGCAAAAGTAGCTTATTACAAACCGCCGCGAAGAGGGTGCAAAAAATAGACAAAGGCGTCGACAAGGACAAGGATGATTTTCTTTTTTATATTATTTTTTGTATTTTTTCGGGGTATAAAAAGGCCCAGAAACTTGAGGTGTGAGTTGTAATATTTTTATGCTTATGACTTGATGGCGCCCCCTTTTTGTGTGTTAATAATCTTGAGGCGAATGCGGCCATAAACGTTTTTTGTGATAATTACATTAAGATTGAGCTAAGTTATTTTTTTTATGGGTTTCTTTGTGGCCGACCACAAATGCTCTAAGCATTATTTTCTCTACTCGTTTGCCGCCTGAAAATTCAATTGCCCGAACTTGTGGAACAATTAAAAGAAGAAATGGCACATCGGGTGAGTGGGAATGTCGCTTGAGTTGAGGAACTTGTGCTGCATATTAAACAGTTTTTTGAAAATCAGAGACAAATCAGAGCACGTAACGGTTAACTTCTCTTTTTGCAGCACATTTTTAAATGGCAACAGCGAGTGAGGCACGTGCATTAAACAGCCCAAAGGCCCAAACAACAACAAGAACATGTGTGGAGTAATTTACAAAACTCGTCGACAGTCGCCAGTTGAGTTCGACGCGTTTGTCTGCCCGGGAGCCGCGCAATTAGGCAATTGACCGTGTGTGTGCCAGTGTGGGTGTGTGTCAGTGTGTGTGTGTGTGTGAGTGTGTAATTGACAAAAAATGACATGCAATTGTGGAGAACAGTCGCCCATGCGGCAAAAATAAACCAAAAATTGATTTTCATGTAATGAGTTCAAAAGGGCTGCGTCTGACTGTCCTGTAGTGTAGCTCACCTCCTTTTTTTAGTCCTTTTTTTGCAGCATGCTGGCTGCATATTAAAATGTGCGTGATGCCATGTGACGAACGCTGAAGTTTTTTTTTTTTATTATTATTATTGTTGCCGACTATAAGGGCTGTCAATTTTTATGAAGTTAAAAATTCCCTCATGTGGGGGAGGCAGATTACGAGCTGGGCATTGTGTGCAAAAAGGTGTTGCATGTAATGAAGCGCATAATTTTAATTGGCTTTTGGTTGAATTTGATGTGCTGCAGGTAATATGTAAAAAAGTCAATGTATAAAAACACCACAAACTTTAAATAATAAACAAAGTAAATTAATCGTGCACAATTTTGAATTGAATTTCAAATTCGAAATTTGCGCCATACCCAACACACTAGACTCTTCGCATTGTTCAGCACTAAATATTGTTAATCGCTTTGCTCCTGCTACGTCACAAAACATTGCAAATTCAATGATATTTAATGTTTTTAAATCGCCAAATTAATGAGCCAAATAGATCGCAACTACAATTTTAAAATAAAGTGTGACTTATTTGAAAAGCTTTTTATGTCAAATAAAATCATGCTTAACTTAAATAGTGTCAGCACATCTTAAGAAATATCGTATGTGCATAAATCTATCGAAATATCGATGAGAGTAATCTCAAAATCAACATACCCAGTTGCAATAGTAAAATATTTAAATATTCAAATAACCTGAGCCGTTAGGATTACGAATTCCTCAACGACCAATTACATTCTGGAAATAAGTAGCGAAATAACCGATAGGTAGCAGCTGTTTTTGGTTGGCTATGTTACAGAAATAAAAGATTCCGCGCTGTTAATAACATCACAGCAAATGTTAAAAGTTTTTTGGGTGCCCACAGCTGCGTGTGTGTGTCAAGAAGTAGAGAGCTGCAAAAAAGAAACAACTTTATTTTTGATGCGTTGTGCAAACGCCAGGTTCAGTGAGTGTGCAAATCGCGAAGAAAAATAATGTCGAAACGGCGAGTAACAAGCAGCAACGATGGCGCCAGCAACAATGCGGAGCAAAATGCAACCAATGCCAACAACACCATCATCAATCTAGACGACAGCGACGATGAGGACGACGATACGCAATTTGTGGGCACCGTGCGTCCAAGCATACCAACAATCGATCTCTGTGTGTCACCATCCACCTCGGCAGCAGCGGCTGCCGCTGCTGGTGCTGGTGCTGGTGCTGCTTCTTCTTCTAATGCTGCAAAATCGACTCCTGCAGGTGAATCACTCAAAACTAATACGGGTAACACAAAAAGAAAAATGAAAACAATTACAGTTAATTTTGCAATGTACATTTTATTGTGTAGGCGCCGCATTGGCTGCTTGTAGTGTAACATCTGGCGCCGACGCAGCTGCTCCCACCGCCACTTTGGAGTGCCCAATCTGTCTGCAAACTTGCATTCATCCCGCACGCCTGCCGTGCGGTCACATCTTTTGCTTCTTGTGCGTCAAGGTACGTAGCGCCCCCTCCACTCACAGCCCCTGCCAACCCGGAAACATTTGCGTATGCAAGTCGCATTCTGTTGAAATTTTTGGTCAAAGCTTTCGAAACGCGTGCGCCCAACGCAACGCACGCACCCAGCAAGTTCAAGGTTGCACCGTTGTTAACCCTTGTGGCTGCCCAAATATCGTTGGGCGCGCGCTAGTTTGAATAATTTAATTTAAATTACCTTCCGCATAGCAATATCAAATTGATTTAAAGTCGTTGGCCTTATCGGCTGCTATAGGCGCAATATCCAGTATGTGTTGCGCATACGTCACAGTGTAACATGTTTATAAATTCAAGGCAGCTTAAATTATTCAAGCTAGGTAGTGCCTAGGATAACTAACTTCTTTATTTGATAAGCGCGTATATGACATCAACAGAGAAAGGCATATAAACACAATTAATTGCATTAAATGTGAATTATATGGGCATTTTCTGACAGTAGACAAACATCACCATAATGTTTTATTATCAAAGAAAAAAACTTCTATGTTTTTTGCAAAAATTACGATGTTGGCTGAAAATGGCTGTGACCACGAGTCAAACGAGACCAATCTTTCCAAGATCGGGGCTTATTTGGCCGAGATACAGCGACTTAAAAAACGCGAAAAAAATGCCGTTATAATTTTGAAGATTTTTCGATAATTCGGCTAAAAACGGTCCGATTTTGGAAAGTTATACCTTTTTGAACTCGTACTGATCTCTGGAATCGACTTGCATACCATTTTATTGCATACCCAAACGGAGCGGTGGAGCAGCTGAAGTACCAGTACGAATCTGCTTTAGGGAACGCTCCGCAGTGTGCTGGGGCCCACGCTCTACACACTCTATACACATGACATGCCCACTGGCTCTACAATTGAACTCGTGGATCCACAGGACCTAACCATCGCCACATTTTCAGATGACACAGCCATCTTATCAAGAAATGAATGTGTCTACGAAGCTACTGAAGTCGTGCAGCAATACCTCCACAAACTTGAAATGTGGACTAAACGCTGGAACATTGGCATTAATTTAAATAAACAGCTACAAATACTTAGGGGTGCACTTAGACAGGCGTTTAACCTTTAGTTAACACATCTCAAGTATCACAGGAGCCCTGAAAAGCAGATTAGGCAAATTCAGATGGCTGCTCAACAGTATCTTTAAAAAACAAAGTAAACAAAATATACAAAACCTGCCTAGCTCCTGCCTGGCGATATGGTATTCAAGTTTACGTATTGCTGCAAAATCGCGCCTTACGAAAATGAGGGTGTTTCAAGCAAAAACGCTCCGCTATCTGTCTGGTGCCCCCTGGTATTTATATTTATTAAAGAAAAAAATATAGTTTAACTTAAATACTGTCTCAAGAACTAATGCTATTTATCCAAAAGTAACTTTATACTTAAAACTCTTTAATCTTATTAACCTGTTTTTTTCATTTTAGGGTGTTGCCTACAAAAATCGTCGCTGCGCCATGTGCCGTCGTGAGATTCCCGCCGAATTTCTGGATCATCCGCAACTGGTAAATGGCATCGATGATATTTGTGCCACACGCGCCACCGAGGATGGCTATCAATGGTATTACGAGGGTCGAAATGGTGAGTGCATATTACAATTATTTGGTGGTGGTGTCTGTAACCGCACGCCCATGTAACCCATGCCCATGGCCATGAACCAAATCAAAACAAAAACCCCACACAAACCCTAGGCGGCTGGTGGGCCTACGATGCGCGCACCAACGAAGAAATTGAGATGTCCTACCAGGCATACCAGGCATACAAAATCAATGTAGCCTCATTGCCTTCAACAAAAGCTTCTCCGCCTGCAGTCCCCGCAGCTGCTCCAGTGCCCGAACGCAATCGTCATACGAACTGGAGCGGCGGTCTTGATGCTGACGGGGATCTGGACGAGTTCTTTGATGATGATTTCCAAGGCTTTGCAAATGATGTTGAGGATTGCTCTACAGACAGCAGCTCCGACTATGATATGCAGTATGGAAGTAGTCCCGACGAACCAAGTCGATTAAAGCAGCTCATCTGCGGCCAGTTGTATATCATAGACCTGATCTGTATGACGCAAACGTTGCGCTCGGAGCCCACCAGAAAGCGCAATATAATACGACGCAAGACATCTGAGCCGGCGCCAGGTGTTAAAGGCGTGGCCGGACTGAAACACAACTAATCACAATACTCTTATTAACCCAACCAACCGTCCCTCACATCATCCCAGTCCCCAATGTAATCCATCATAACCATGCTCCCAAAACTGAAATGAAATCTGTAAATGTGATCAAGCCACAAGCGAACCCCAATTTAAACTACTTACTGAACAGGTTGGTGGCAATACGACGATCGCACCAGCCAGGACATTGAGGAGGCCTTCAAAAAGGGCGACAAATCCTGCAGCATACTCGTCGCTGGCTATGTGTACATTGTGGATCTGGAGCAGCTGGTGCAGCAGCGTCAAAACGAACCGTCGCGCTGTCGTCGCGTCAAGCGTGATCTGGCCACCATACCAAAAAAGGGCGTGGCTGGACTGCGCATCGAGGGCAACCAAGTGACCAGTGACACGGTATTCAGTCGTCCCAGCAACCCAACGCCACCGGCTGCCGCTACGGGTGGCCCAGCCACATTTATATCGACTATAGCGGCACGGGATGCGGCCATTCGTATTGCCAGCGACATAATTGGCTCCACGCTGGCGCATGCAGATGAGCTGACACGCGGCATGGCCGCCAGCAATATCAGTGACAGCGCCAATGATCTGAGCGGTGAGCAAACCTTCTCCAATCCACAAACATCCAACACAACAGGTGCAGAACAGCAGTCGCAGGGTACTAGTACGGGTCTGGGTGCTGTTGCTGCTGCCCGTTCGCTTGCCTCCTCGCACTCAAATTCCATACAGGATCTCATGCTCAGCGCCACAGAGGACTTGCTGGACACCACACAACAGGTCATTGAGACCAATCAACATACCATAGATCTCTTCGAGCAGGCCTTGAACGATTTCCAGGCGCTCACCATGCGCAGCTTTGCCGACTCCAGTGATGAAGATGACAATTGCGACAATGATGTTCATGATCATGATATTAACAATGGTGGCGCGGTGGCTGAGCAATTTGAGGCGAGCGAATCACATGATGAGCACAATGTGGGCCATTAGGTTTCCAATTTCTAATCACAATTCCCCAACATAACACAAGTACCGTTTAGCTTAGACTACAAGCTAAAAGCTCGAAACGCGAACGAAGTTCCTTTAGAAATGTCAACATTTCAGAATGTTAACTAGAGAAATGCGAAGCCGCGTACCTGAGATCAATATATCGCTCTATGCGTGAGCAAAAGTAATAAGAAAATGAGTGTAAGAGGAGGAAAGGCTTACAGGGTAACCTACACATAGTGCGTATACGAAATTCCTTATCAATCTGAACCTGAGCAACTATTATCTGTACATACCATACTTGTAATTGTGATTGGAAGCTGTAATATCAACTGGGTCTCTAAAACCAAAGCTCCTAGAAAATCCCCAAACTATCAAAAACAAAACAAAATCACTTTCAGTTCGATAATTACATCAGTTTCGTAAGGCATTGAATATTAAGTTTGCTTTAAAGTACAAACAGAAACTTTAACGTACAGCAACAACAGTAAAAATTATCGTCAAAACACAATATCCGTAGGATTTTTATGGAAATGCTACTCAATCTCATAGGGGGAATATTGCAAGTAAGCAGAGTCCTCTCTAAACACAGTATATAGTATATATGTATATTTATATGTATAAAAAATACTCATAATTAAACCAAAACATTCTATAAAATCCCCCGCAACCGAGCCAATTAAGCAACCACCAAGAAAGCGTAGTGTGAGATGGACAATACATATATTCGATTGGGTTTTAAATGGGTAACTACCTGTACTCGGGTAAATTGACAAGCTTGAGAAGATATTCTTTCAATTCGTACTCAATTCGGTTAATATCTGATCAGGGTAGCTTCACAAGCTGAGAACTTGAAGAATCCTTGAAATATCAAAGTTAGATGTTGCCCCCGTGTTTATATTAATATAAGTCGCCGTTAAGTGCGTTAAAACAAAACATTTCTGTGAAAGTTTTACTTATAATTGTAAAATAAGTTATTATAAGCATTACGTTCAGTCACAATTGAGTTCATACAAGATCGTTAGCTGTATTTTTTATGTTTTTCATTTAACGGTCCTTTTTATGCAGCTCAATTGTGCCTAATCGGAATGCACTTTATAAATGCCTATATTAATGTATATGTATGTATATTTTGTGACTACTGTTTTATAGATTCGATTTGTACCCCGCCATTACTTCTAACTGTGAAATGCCTATTCGTAGCTACCCTTATATCAACGATATTCCTAAAGCTCTACTGAGTTCATGCGTAAGAGCTCCCCATTCCTTCCGGTAATATACAACAAACAAACAAACAAAATCCAAAAATATTTCATGTTTCTCATTAAAGAGCTTATTGGTCATCATATTAATTCAACTTGATAAGAAAACTATGTTAAGTTCATTTTGAATGCCTTCCTTAGCATAGAGAAGTCGATCTCTATCTCTCCTTCTCTTTTCTACCACTCCATAACTATCTGTTCTTTACTTTTGACTGCCTCGCGTTGCGTTGTAATTTCAATCCTCTGATAACCTTAAGAACTTTTTGAGACTTTATCAATTACATTTTTTTCATACTTCGCTAATGGTGGCAGATAGATCATGTACTTATCGAAATCTTTATATAACATTTTGCTTAAACAGATTAAAACATCAGTAAATCAAAACGAAACTGTGCCAAGCGCAAACACTAACAGATATGCATTCTGTTTAGCCAAGAATATGGTGCTGTTTATTATTAACACTAACAGCAAAGTTAATAAACATTAACAGCACGTCACATTTCAGTTCAGTAACTCATTAATTTTGATTATTTTCATATATCATTGATATTTAAATATTAATTAAAATTCATATTGCTCCATTTACGGGGCATGTTATTAGATGTATTTATTATCTTTACCTAAACTTTGAGAAAGAAGATGCTCTATGTAAGACATGTTGATTTATTATATATAAGATTATTGAATATTACTGTATTTATGTTGGAAATAAACATTCTCATTCAACAAAAGTCAAATACTTCAAAACCGATTAAAGCTATATTACAGGAAAAGTATATTAAAACGAGCTTCTTAACTGATTACTTTTATTAAATATCTAATACATATCTTATGAAAACAACAACAATTTATCACACAAAAGGCAACCCCCTTCTAAAGAACTACTCGTTTCCTTGGGTACCTGTACTCGACTTCAAATGAAATCCTTTTTTTATGGTTTTCTTTGTTTGCGAATGGTGCGGGAACCTGGAATCGGCATCGGACCCTGTCCGTCTACAAATGCTTGGCTATTGAGTCATGCGCAATGGACCAAAAGAAAACGCACGCATGCAGCATATTAATTTACTGGACCTCCTGTGCCTGTCGCTGTTGTTGTTGCTGTTGCTGTTGCTGTTGTTGTTAGTGAACAAACAAGAAAACGGGCCACAAGCAACAGGCTTAAAAAAGGGGGCAACACAGCTCTAACAATGTGAGAGTGAAAGAGTTGGGCACTGCGAAAGAGATGGAATAACTGAGCAGCGATCGTAGCTGTCACATAAATATGTTCGGATTCGGGTTTTGGAGAGTTCTTTGGGTGTTGAGTCTGAATGAGTCATCGTTGTTTACATAGAAATTATGCTACCTGCTGCATTTTTTGTCTGTTCTTTTTACCTGTTCTGCAAATATCACGAAATAGGTAAACGTCAACAGCTCTTGTATAACAACTTGTTGCCGCCTCTTATCAGCCAGACAAAGTCGAATACTGCAAGTTTGCGCTCATCAAACTGAGCTGCAGGCAACTGATTCTAATCTTGCAAAATAATTGGGAAGTGTCGCCAAATAAAATTACATTTAAATCTAGCTCTCTAGCTCTGAAAAATTAAAAGTATCTGAATATACGCAAATTAGATTAGCAGGTTACAGAAATGGGAATGTTACATGATTTTATTATGTTCAGGTATATGTTAACATATGTAAATACTGAAAGTTTAAATATTACAACTTAACTTACTTAACAGAGATTCATATTCCTAAATTCCTTTATATGTTAAGAGTTAAAATCAAAAAACAAATTATTCTATACATTTATTTAATCTGAAAGAATAAGATTAACTGCATCTGTTACAATTACATTTTATATGCAAGGATGACGAAAGCTATAGTTTGGAGCTTTTGTAACAGCTTTTAAAAGAGCTTTAACAGTGCTTCGTGATCGCGTATGCTTCGGCTTTAACTTTGGTCAGAAACTTGAGCATAAAGCAACAACAGCAACAGCGGCTTGCAAGTGTTGGTGGTTGTTGCCGCCGACGCTCACTGGCCATGGCTCTCAGTGTCTCAGTTGCGCTCCCTCTCTCGCACACACACATTCGGGCAGGCACATGCGCAGTTCAACCTGTACTCCAAACTGGTTTTGAGGGAGGAAATTGGCCCGCTTGAGCAGCTTGTGGCTGTTGGTACATACCAACTTCTGCTTCTCTCGGCCAGGCAGGCTGAGCGTGCGCCAGTTTTTTTTTTGTTAGTTGATTTGTATCTACCTTTGGTGCGGACGGTTGGTTGGTCGGAACGTTATCTAAAGCGCAACCAAAGGCCAACCAGTCTTTGTATTTGTAAAATTTGTGTTTAAAATTACTGAAAATTGTCACAAAATAACCAAAAAATGTGAGTGAATACATTTGAAATAAAATGCATATGAAAAACTTATTGAAAAATGTGCAAAACTGCAGTGGAGAGTGCAAATAAAAATTTATTGATTTTCTTCAACCGAAGCAACGTACGAAGAAGAAGCAGCAGCAACAGCACAAAAGTATAAGCTGCGCTGTAAGGTTTCCAATCGAGTGTGAGAGACCGTGCGTGCGTGTGTGTGTGTGTGTATACATATATGTGTGTGCGTTGCGTTGGTGTGTGTAGCAAAATTTCGTTGTAGCTGCTTATTGTTGTTATGTTCTAGCCAAGTCAAAAGCACGGCACCAAAAAAAAGCAAAAAGCAAACGGCGAAGCAGAAGAAGTGGAATACAAATATACATAGCCATATACATGAGCACATGTATTTATGTGCGTGTGTGTGTGTGTGTTTGTTCTTTTGTGCAATTTGCCATTTTAAGGCATACAAAATAGCAGCGCTGCATTTGAAAGTGAAATGTGAATAACTGTTAATTTTTTTTATGTAAAAAACATTGTATATTTGTGAATGATTATGTGACAAGTGACTGCACTTGAAATTTGTTTGAGAGGCACCGCTACGTATTCTCCTTCTTATACTTTATCACGCGCTTCCGCGGTGGCTTAAAGCTTTACTCTCACTCCCCGTCTCCCTATCTATCTTTCTCTCTGCTTGCGTTGACGTTTGCGTGGGTCGGTCGTCGACGCCGTCCCCAACCTCTGTTGTAATTTTTGCCGTTTTTTGCTTTTTGATTTATCGTGAGGGGGGGCTGACGCCAATGCTACTGAATGTGCTTGCATCCCCCCTTAGTGCTAGCACCAACACACATACATGCATATGTATATGCGCGCATCCTGCGAGTGGGCGTTTGACGTCGTTCGGCTGAGTTATTGATTTTGTGATGTTTCATTGATAAAATTGCTTACAAGTGTGCAAGTGTGTGTGTCCAAGCTGTAATTTGCACTTACTGATTTACCTTTAAATTTGTGCTCCTGTTCCCTTCACAGCCTACCTAACCAGCATGTAGTAGGACAATAAGAACTGTAACTCAAAAAAGAAATTAACGGACAATGCAGCCATTTAGCGACAGTTTAAGCAAAAGTCGTGATGATTTGGTCAATGTCGCCGCCTCCAGGCAGCAGCAGAAGCAGCTACAACAGCTGCACTACAGCAGACGGAGACATCATGGAAGCAGTCCTAACTTATCGTTGGATCAAACCGATAATTTGCGCAGAAGGTAGGTTATCAAACATGTTAAATTGCCCTTAGAAATTAACAAAATAGTTATTGACCAAGGTCATGTCCGCTTGGGATATTTTGTTAGTAATTAGACGTATCAATTTTGTTTGCTTACAATGAAATATAGAGCCTGCACAACAAAAATATGTACCATTGGACCTGCACACATATATACACCTGTATTATATCAATACAAATTAAACACGTGAAAATGTGTGTTGCATTGAAATGATAAACAAAAACAAACATAGAAAGGCCTAAACGGGCCAATTAGAAGCTTCCTTATTATATACCATATGTATGTATGTATGTATATATACCCATACCCTGGCGCCCAGTAGCGAAATCACACACACCTGCGTCAGAAACTGGTTTCAAAGCTTCGTTGGACCAGCCGCATGCTACCCAATGCAAGCACTTCCCAAAGTTGGTCACTCTAACAATAATAAAACTTGATAACAATGAACGTGCAAAAGAGAGAGCAAGCGAGCAAGAGAGTGCAAAGCTGTGCTGATAATGTGAGCGCTCGTTTGGTCGCATGCTCCAGCGCTCACGCTCGCAATTTAGTACGCGAAAATCAATCGTTTCAGATGGTTGTCGCGGCAAGACAGCGTGTCAATCAAACTGTGAGCCTGCCTTAATGTGTATAGTGTGTGTGTGTGTGTGTGTGTGTGCAGACAACAATAACAATAACGCTGCTTATCGCCAAATCAGTTGCTAACTTGTGCATGTGTGCAGAAGTGGCGCAGTTTTTGTTAAATTTGTGCAAAAAATCATGAAATTAAGTGTTACATACACGAACAAAACGAAAGTGTTACGCAGACAGTTCTTCTTGGTCTTGTAATTGACGCAGCAACAACAACAACAACAACAATAAAAGCAAAACCATTTACCTTGACGTCATTTTTTTTTTTGAGACGACAAAAACGCCAAAAACGTATTTGTTGCTGTTGTTGCTTGCTTTGGTTTGGTGGCTGGCCGTGCTTGGCACGAAGCAAACGAACGTTTTTAATCAAAACTTGTTGTTGTTATTATTCTCGCTGGGGTTTATACAGTGCGTAAAAAACGTCTGGCGGCGACCGCTAAAAGAGCGAGTGTAAAAATTTGCATTAATGCAGCACCACGATGTCGCATTAATGAATGAGTTTGTAAACAACAACACCAACAACAAAAGGCAAAAGTGCGGTGGCAAGAAAACTAATTGCAAAAACAAACACAATTAACCGTGAAAATAAGCGCGAAAGAAGCGAGCACAAAAACATCACAATGGTTTATTATATACCAATGTTCGGACGTACTGACCCGCCGGATAAAATTATAACAAAGGAGAAAAGGTAAACATAGGCTTGGTGAAAGGGATAACGATTAGAGATCACAGTTCGCGCCTATCGATTGTCATTTTCACTAGTGATGTTTGCTTTACTAATGTAAAATCGATCTCTTGCCAACACTACAAAAAATGTAGGAGGCCCAGTCCGCTGACTCACGGCACTAAATTACCGTTATGCGTTGCACTTGCTGTGCTTAGCAAAAAGAAAAAGAAGCCCAAACTAACCAGGTTTCCGCGTTCTATGAACTGCGCGTCACCAGCCACAACAACAACAAAAGGTCAAAACGTGCTGTTGCAGCGATTTATTAATGCGTTTAAATTTCATAAATAATTAAAAGGTTTTTGACATTAGTTCTGTGCTGGCGACGGCGGCGGCGGCGTCGTCGGCGGCATGTGAACAGAACGCATCGCTCCCACAGGCGTCAGAGGTGCGAGCGGGATGTCTATACATAACATTCGCTGGGAACAAAATCTGCACAGAACGGTAGATGATTTTGCTTGTGTAGGTGTCCAATATATGTGCGTATCTATGTGTGGGTACCAAACGGCAAGCAACAGGTGATTTTGCGTGTTCGCGCACGTCGCTTCAATTGGACAGCCCAATCACACTTTTTACCCCTTGTTGATTGTTATTGTTGTGATAAATGTTTTTCACCTGAATAAAAAATGCTGCGACAGCGGCTGTTAAGCTTACTATTCGTGCTGATGCTCTCTCTTTCTCTATATTTCTCTCTCTTTCACTCACACTTTGTGAATGGTGTTTTTGTTTATCTTATCGCATGCAAAAAAAAACACAAATTCCGTGCACAAGCGCGACAGGAAAGTTGCCACTGTATGAGTAAACACACACATGTGTGTGTGTGTAATTATAGGAGTATGTGTGCCTGTAGGTTTTGCTTTTGCGAGGAACTATCAGAGGAGTGATCACTTTTCTCTTTTACGTACATAAATATTTATACACATGTTTGTGTGTAAGTGGGAAACATTATCACCTATGTGTAAATTTAGAATACCCCGAAACATTTTGATTATCTTATGGAATTGATTTATTATAGCGTTTAGCTATGTAGCTTTTGTCGGGACTTAAAGCTTACTGAACTAAACTAGCATTGGATTAATCGTATTCGCATATATCAAAATTAAATACTGAATGTAGGCCCCTTAGTATATATATGGAACTGTTTGTCCTGACTAACTGACTGATTGGTGATTTACTGGATGTTCACGCTAAGACGTAGTTTTGGAAAATTCTATTCGTAAGTGTGAAAAAATCTCGAAAAACGGTTGAATGAACCTTTTTGATTTACCAACCGAGCGGCCTTAAACTCATTTTCAAAGGTCTTTGTACAAATTCTTTTGAGTGGTGTTTCACACTTTTCGGAAAATCCATCCAGACTTGATGGAAATGGGGTTCGAAGATCTGGTGGGCGAGGTTGCGGGCTTAAACCCATTTTCAGGGATTGTACTGAAAAATCATTTGGGACATATTTCAAGTTTTTCACAGAATTCAAGCCTACTCGCTGGAAATGCGATTTTAAGTTTTCTCTGATTGGCTTGACACTTTTTTCTAAAGCCCTACATAAGATCTTAATAAATACGTGTAATAAATACTGTAGTCAATGTGCGGAAAACAGTTGTATGAAACTTAATAGTTTATCATCCGATTGGCTTCAAAATTATTATATGACTTTCGACAAATCCTCGGGCAAGGCCGAAAAACAACCCGTTAGTATATATAAATATATATGTATCTTTAAACTGAAAGTCTTTAGATATATATCCAAAAGTATATATAAAGTGTTCATGGATATCTATTAGTTATCTCTAATTCGTTTTTATTTATATCCAAAACAGTCTGTTAATTTCCCCCAATATCAAATTTGTTAATGAATTTTCATAATTATCAATTCGACTACTATTTCTGATATAAACAGACAAACCGCTAATAATTGGACATTTTTAAAGCCGTCCAATTTTCTTAGTTTCAAAAAAATCCTACAGTTTTAACGTGATTAAACCCTCAACCAAATGGGAAGGTGAATGAAATAGTGCAATTTAAATTTGCAACGTTAACTAAAATGATCCTTTTTTAAATCCTTTAATAACATCAATTTTTGTATATTGCTTGCATTTATAGTATGGTCTGCCTGCAGGACGAGTTTGGTCACCTGGGACTAGCTGCCACAGATCTGCCTTTTAAAACAGCTGACCTTGATTCTTCGGCACCGCAGCACCACAACAACTATGCGGAGATCACGGACAGCAGTGCGGAGAACACGTGCCAGCAACGCTGGCCACCACATGCGGGTGGTGGTGGGTTGGCCAGTGCCTTTGGGCATCCGGACAAGCCCATCGGCTGGATGTATGGCCTGCTGGGCTGCATGAAGCCTGTGCTATCCTTTATAGGCAAGGCGGGTGTTATCGAAGTGAAGAACCAGCGCGCCGAAGACTGGGAAATACCCTTTGAGTCCATTACGGATCTGGAATGGTTGGGCAGCGGTGCCCAAGGCGCGGTCTTCAGTGGCAAGTTAAAGAACGAAATTGTGGCTGTCAAGAAAGTGAAGGAACTGAAGGAAACGGACATCAAGCACTTGCGTAAGCTGGATCATGAGAATATTATCAAATTCAAGTGGGTAGCGGTAATATTATAGATTTGAACTAGATGATGAACATAAGATTTGTCTTTGCAGAGGCGTTTGCACCCAATCGCCCGTATTTTGCATCATCATGGAGTTCTGTCCGTATGGCCCGCTGCAGAACATACTGAAGGAGGAGCAGGTCATGTTGCCGTCCCGTTTGGTCTCTTGGTCCAAACAAATAGCGCTGGGCATGCAATATTTGCACTCGCATAAGATCATACACAGAGATCTGAAAAGTCCCAAGTGAGTTGAGAAAATGGAATTCTAAAGCAAAATGAAGCTCTGAATATTCTCAATTCTCTTGAATCCCTCAGCATACTGATTAGTACAAACGAAGTGGTGAAGATCAGCGACTTTGGCACCAGTCGCGAATGGAATGAGATTAGCACTAAGATGAGCTTCGCGGGCACTGTCGCCTGGATGGCGCCGGAGGTCATTCGGAACGAGCCCTGCTCCGAGAAGGTCGACATTTGGTCGTATGGCGTGGTACTCTGGGAAATGCTCACCTGTGAAATACCCTACAAGGATGTCGACTCATCGGCCATTATTTGGGGCGTGGGCAACAACTCGCTCAAGCTGCTGGTGCCCAGCACCTGTCCCGAGGGATTCAAGCTGCTCGTTAAGCTCTGCTGGAAGAGTAAGCCACGCAATCGGCCCTCGTTCCGGCAAATACTCAGCCATCTGGACATTGCCGGGCCGGAGTTGTTGCGCAAAACAGAAAAGCAATATTTCGAGACGCAAAAGTCTTGGAAGGAGGAGGTGCGCTGCCATCTCAAGGAGATCACACAGAATGGCACCAGCATACACAAATACGAGCAGGATTTGATCAAGCGACGCACCGCCGAGTGGCGTCACGCCCAGGACATTCGCATGGTCTACGAGGACAAGCTGCAGAAGACAAATCAATTGTTTTTCGAGCTAAGCGAATGCATGACACAGCTGCAGGAGAAGGAGAAGGAAATTGCCGAGTAAGTTGAAGATCTCTCCTGCGAATTCTCATTACTAATTATATTAATTATTTTCCAGGCGGGAACGCAAATTGCCCGGTTCCGGCTACAAGCCCACGCGGCGTTTGGGCAACACACTCAGGAAAATGCAACATTATCGACGACGACTGAATGCGCCACCAGCACAACAAATCCAACTACAGCAATCCTCAACGCCCGATCCCGAGACCACGCCAGAGGTAAGTCCATGTTTACGCATATCTACGCAACTTCAATTAATTTCCTTTTGTTTTACGCTTCAGAGTCCCGTCAAGTGTGTGCTGTATGCGCAACTGGATGGCAATTGCCAGCCAAAATCCTATTGTGCTGTGGGCACCAGTCTTGTCGTCGGCGGCAGCATGTCCAATAAAAATAAGAAGACTTGGCGTCATCGACGCAATGGCTCTGGTTCCTTTGCCGCCCCGCCCAAGTACAGTCCTACGCGCGATCGTCGCTATCAGAGCGAGCCTGAGAATCGCAAGGTTCAATTGATCGAGCGGCAAACTCAAACGGATGCCATGGATGTCAGTGAAACGGATATAAGTCCCAGCGCTGAGCATCCAACTGATGTGCCGCCTCCCAATCATCGCCAGCTGCCGATACAGCTTCAACGCGTCCAACAGCTGGCTGCCGCAATGGCGCAGGCTAAGGTTCAGGGTAGCCAGGTTCCAGGCAGCAGCGACAGCAACTCAACGCCAGCCAATGCCGCTTGTCCATCGAATGGCAACTCGCTGAGCAACAGCGAGCTGACCTATCAGGATGCCTGCTCCAGCCCCGATCAGCTCATTGACGACGTGATGAACAGCAACGAACGCCTAGACATAACTGAGTGTTACAGCGACAATGAAAATCTCGAGCGTTTGGGCCGCAAAGTCATCGAATTCATCAACGAGAACCGCCTTTCCATACAATCAAATGCCACTGAAAATGGTAATGGCGGAAGCGGTGGCAGTGGACACACCACAACGGCGCCGGAGCTGCGTGATGTGGGTGTGAACAGCAGTCCCTGCCTGAGTCGCTGCAGCAGCACGCAGAGCAGAAGACAGACTAGGCAGCAGCTGGCGGAGAATACGACAGTGAGCACCAGCAATGCCAATGGAGATTCCTTGCAAGAACCTTTGGGTGAGGATAGCTGGTCAGATGAGGAGGGTGAAGATACCGACTATAATTACGCGCTCCGCAGAAGAAGGTCTGTTTATTATTGTCGGGCCGAAGATCATGTCCAGGTAAACTGAACTCTTACATTTTTACAGCATTGGACGTCTGCCCATTGGACGCGGCATGCGGCCGAGACGCAGCTATAAGGCGCCCTTGTCCCAAAAGATTGCCATACATAAGCGCAACGTGGTCATCGTATCCGATGAGGAGAACACCTCCGAATACAGTCATTCGCCCTCGAGCCAACACTCAACGCTAGAAAGTAATACGGATGTGCCGGCAGCTTTGAAGCAGACACAACAACAACAACAGCAACTCAAAAACGCAACCAACAGTTCCAGCGAGGCCGAATCAAGTGACTCCAGCGAAGAGGAACTGGATGTGGAGGATGCGACCAAGCCGAAAACTGCGGCAACCGCTTCAGCGTTACCCATGGGCGCCACACGCAGCAGCGATATTATATCCATACCGACATTTGAGGCTGATGGCGCAGTTAATATGGTTTAACCTAGTTACGCATAGCCTAAGTGAATGCTCCTACAACAATTAACCGAAATCAACTATCTCTCTATATACTCAAAAAACCCCCCCAAAAAACTGTATGGTATTATCTATGTCATATGTCATACATATATGTATCTTCATGTCCGATATCTGTGTGCATCGTCCCTTTAGTTTATATAATATGGAAAACAAATTGAAGCGTTGATCGCTTCATTTTATGTTATTCCATAACCTCAGTCTTAACCTCCATGTTCACTTTAAGGGTTTGGGGCAAACTTACCTATTTGTTTGGATGCAATTCCTATGCTGAACGTTTATGATTTATGTTTTGTTTAATTCTGTATTCGGTAGGCTGCCTTTGTAATATATTTTTTTTAAAAATGCCGTAATTGTACATTTAATTTAGTCATTAGGTAGATTTCAATCTTAAGAGCTTAACCGCAACACGCTCCCAACTACAAAAAAACAAAACAAAAACCAACAAAACAAAACAAAATCAAACCAAAACAGAAACAAAAAAAATGTAATAGAGTTGGCCTCAGGCAATATATAGGAAAAAGTGAAATATATATGTGTAACGCAAAATAGTCAGGGATATTTTTTATATAACGAAATTTGCTAAGAGATCGAGGAAAATGTTTTTTAAAGAAGCGCATAATATAATTTTGTAGCTCGCATTGGAATTACTTCAAAAACACATTTGAAGCAATTCCATTTCCGGTACTTACTTTTTCGATATGCACAAAATTCAAAGCTTCAGTGCCTTAAAGCAAATATTTGAGAATCGACAAAAACAAAAACAACAAAAAAAATAAAAATAAAAAAAAACAACTATATAGTAAAAATATAGTTTGAAAATCTGTAAAATAGCTGATGACCGCGGCTATGACGTGGAACATGTGCGCTTTTATATTCCTCCCACTCTATAAAAAGAACTATTAAACATTTGCAATAATAGATCCCATAAATTGTCCGCTTTATTGAAATTCAAAATGATTCCAATCAAAAGCGCACATCACGCTGCATACAAAAGAAAATCTATATATACATACATATATTATTAAAAAATAAAAACGAATTACAAATTTAAAATATTTCTATATACACTCAATAATATACACACTATATATTTACACACTAGTTGGATGTTTAGCTATCATAAGATGCGTCGCATGCAAACATTTCCCTACATTATGTAAATTCCATATTAAGTTTAAATTTAACGACTCATACGAATTAGCTGTAATCTTAATTAAAACCAAAACCGAAAAAAGTAATCATTTAAGATATGTATTTACTGATCGACCTTCAATAGATTTATACATGGTTCACTTAGAGGCTTCCCTTTTCGAGTAAGCCCTGTAAATCGTCTGAATCTTTTACGAGTCTTTATAATCACACGTGAGATACCCCAGATTCATTTACATTCCCATTGAATTAAATGGATCGTATTTACAAGACAACAGATTTGGAAGTTTCAAAATGTTAAAAGGAAAAAAAAATTTAAAAACCGATTTTATTTGCATCTATGTTCCACGACCCAGGAACTGCTCGAACTGCGGTGAGGACTGACCCAGTCGAGTGCGCAGCATTCTCAAAGCTTTCGTTTCCCGTGAGTCAATCATAAAACAAACCACCTCATATTGTGTCTGGAAGGGCAACAGGCCGGCGGTGCCATTGGTCAGATCCAAATGTCTAAAGCGATCAATGTTGCAGGTGCAACCATCGAATACGTAAAACCCTAAGCAATTTGGCGAATCTCGAGTCCGGTCGGGCTGCTTAAAGACCACATAATTGCCCCAAGGAGTTATGGTGAGCACCCGTTTGGTTACTTTGAAGGCGGAGTCCAGCAGACGGTTCAGGCTCTCCATGGTGCCGCTTTCGGAACCAGCGACGGCCAGATTATGCGGATATTTGGTATAAACGGGATAGGATATCGATCCAGTTTCAGCACCTGCCTCCAAATGATGTTTATTCTGTGGCGCTGCAACGGGCTGACAGCTCGTCGAAGCATCGGCAGTTTCTGTCTGATTTGAGGTATACTTTGAGCATTGGCAGCGACTGCAATTATCAAGCCTGAACTGTCTAACATTGATGGGGCGATACCTGGCACAGAGCTTGGCGTCGAGTTCGGAAAACTTATCCTCCGCCAGAGGCGTTTCCACATGCTGCGGCACTTTGGTGCTCATATTTCTAGTCGGTGCTTTCATTTCCGTTTCGATTGGCTTGGATCCAATCGCAGGACCGGACTTTTGTTTATTTCGCGAAGCGCTCAGCTTATCTTCCACTTTGGTAGACCCACTTTTTTGACGTATTGTTGCTTGCTTTTTGGCCGGCGACTGTCGGGAAGTAGTTTTGGAGTATAGTATTATCTCAACTGATACTTCAGAATTTCTACTTACCGGTTGCCGTTTAGCACTTGGTTTCGCAATTGGAGGCTTGCTTTTAGTGGCTTGCTTGGCAGGCCTTATAATCTCCACCTCCACCTGCTCCAAGCCACCCCCATCCTCACCAGAATATTGAGTATCGACCGTAAAGTTGACTGTGTCTTCTGTCGTACTTATCACATCCGGCTCATAGTCGCTTATCTCAACCAGGAGCTTATCACAGGGGCACAGCTGCTGTGGGAAATTGATGGGCTCGTTGAGCGGCTTTACCACACAGTAGGCATCATCGGGCGTTGGCTTCAATGCCAATCCTTGGGGGCACTTTGCTATATTCTTGGTGCGCAGCACGTGAATATGAAAGGTCGAATGCCGATTGGACTCCTTAAGCAGTTGATGAAATACATTGAGCATGGTAGTCAAATCCCGAAACATGCGCACCGTGGCCCATTTGACGGAGTTGTTACCATCTTTGGTCGCCTTCTGACCGACCACTATATGCCGATAGGGATCGAGCAAATAGTAAAAGTTGTCCTTGCACCACAGAGCATACATTTGATTGTTGATCTGGAACAAAGCGTTGCCAAAGTCCCTCAGGATATGGCGGATGTTATATTCAAAATCGCTGCCCTAAACGGAGATTGTTGGATTTGACGAAAAACAGTTTGAAAAAGTTTGTCGAAGCAAATACTTATGTATATTGGAAAAGAAAAAAGGTACTATTATAACAAAATTCCCAAAATATAATTATAATAATATAATATAATTCCTAACAGGAGAAACGCAGTTAATATCAATTAAGAAACGCAGAAAAAAGAAACATAGAAGAGTTCGAGGACAAAAACCAAATATAAGGAACCCAATAATATAAAAAAAAAGGATCAGCTTGGGAACCTACTTTCCTGGATCCATAAACGCAACCTGCATGTGTCATATGTTTCGAAAATGTAAGTCAGACAATTCGATTTAAATTTGTAATTGCCCGTTCTACTGAAAATAATGCCTGTAATACATATTTTCATACAGAAATCGAGGGCTAAATTTGATCTCTATCCAAAATTTGCATCTATCAAATATGGTTAGATTAATCCAATAGTTGGGATCTAAGCTATTTAAGCTTTGGAGCTGAGTCTAGTTAAAAAAGTTTTTTATTTTACTAAACTGGCTTTGAACAATAATTTCGGTTCGGTTCGGGTTTCGGTTCAGATGGTTATTGAAGGCTTGGTTCATATGAAAAAGTATGAACTCGGACACGGTTGGATCTAAGCCTTGAATAAATATAATAAAAATATCAATTGGAGACAAAAATGCGTAGAAGAAATTGGGAGAAATTATTTGTTACGAAAAACTATAATACGATTATAAGGAAGAAGACAACCCACAAGCTATGGAACCACCCGCAATTTGAATAGAATAAGCGCCCACCTGATAAGTGAAGCCACAACGCCATTGGCCACTGGAGATTTCCGGCATAAGCTTTATCTCCGCAACAAACTGTCCAAGGCGCAGCTGTGTGGGAAACTTGTCCAGACTAATGGGCAAACGATCCTTCACATTTGCGCCCCAGCAACTGCGGCAGAGCTCGACACCATAGCAGATGAGGCGATCAAACATGTTCGTATTCCATGAGGCGGGATGATCGATGTGGGATGCCAATATGCCAGCCACGCCCACAATAATGCTGCAGCAATTGCGCACTGCTGCCTCCGGATTGAGCGAGAGATGCAGATTGCTCTTGAGATAGGCATAATCATTACTGATGACTTTATACTCAAGGTCGCGCTGATTGGTATCCCGCAGAAATGTCCGGCCATCGGGGGTAACCAGTCGCACCACGGCCAGCTCACGTATGCTAAACTCGCCGTTCGGATTATCGTCACTTCGATTGCTTATCAGATGGACAACATTGTCCAGGGTCTGTAGACAGACCAGCATGGCCACACCAGGTCGAACGCTGACCAAATCATCGGGTCGCCGACCCTTAACGTCCATCACAAAGTACAACAGGCGCCGCCGCCAGATCAGCAGATAGCCCGCCTTGTGCAACAGCAGGCAGTAATGGGCATTCTGAAAGAAGCTGCGCATCACCTGTTTAAGATTCTTCATAATGTGCGGTGGCCGCAGATCCATTGCCTCGTCCTCATTGCCCAAATAGGGCGACCTTAGTTCGAGTGTGAAGTCATGGCCCTCCAATTTGAAACTGCGCTTGATGTGCTGCTCAATGCTGCTGTAGATGGAGGACTTGTGCTGTGGCCCATCTGCGGTGTCCTCGGAGCTAGTTTGGAATAGCTCTTCACCCTCGATGAGCAGTTTATCAATGTTCTCGGTGCGCCACTCCTCCTCGGGCAGTACGTAAATCAAAGCGAACGCCTTGAGATACGTGGCAAAGTCCTGGGCAATTGTTGAGGCATGCAACTCCTCCTCGAGGCAATCGCAGCGTCGCACTAAAGGCGCATGGGAACAGGTTAGAGCTACGGCCGAGCCCATCGAATCGGGTTCCACATCGCAGCGATTTTTCAATTTACATTCCTTGCAATTCATTTTAATGCGGCTTTTCGGGTTCTTTTCATTTCTCTCTTTGCAGACTTTGTCATGATTGGGTTCATCCAAGCTGTGGCCCAGGTACTTACAACTGGGCGGAAGAGATATGTTTTAGGGACTTGTAGGTTTACATTTGTGTCCATATTACACACCTGAGATTCTCTCCATTCTTGTTAATGATTGAACAATTCTGACTGCATTTGACACTATTTTGCCACTTTTTCATAAATGACATATTTGCAAAATTTGGAAAACCAATATTTGCATGTATACTAATTTTTTTCGTTTTTTATTTGTTTTTTTGTGGAATTCCAAAGATTGGTTAATAGGACAACAAATAGAATAGTTTTTAATTTTTAGAATTTTAAATTTCTCTGTTGAGTTTAAACACAAATACAAACATCTAATTTACATTTTTTATTGTTGTAGGTACACCTCGGCAATTCTCAATAACTATTTGTAATCCCAAACGTGAACATTCGGCTATCTTTGGCACACCGAAGATTAATCACCCCTTTATTACTAGGGCTAACGATGAGGTATTTGACGAGAATAATGAGGATTGTAATTGCTGAATTTGGTAAAGGTAACTTGATAAACTAAAAGGATTTTCACTTAACTAAAGCGATTAATTTCCAAAGAAACACAGACGGACACAGGGACATGACTTTACAATTTATAGGAAGATATGAAATGAAACAAAATTAAACTACCCCATAAAAGGGTAGAAAACTGAATTTAATTTATGATCTTTAACGGATGTTTATTTGATTGGTCGATTAATTTCAGAGCTTTTAAATAACTAATACAATCGATTTATTACAGTTATCGATTAATATTGTGTCTGTATGAATCGATATCGCGCATCGCAATGTATGACAACATCGTCTGCATAAATCCAAAACAAACAATTTATGCAAATTATGACATATTAAATTTATTGACAATTCTCCGTTTTAATTTCCCCACAAAAGAACGTCCAATAGAGTCTAGAGTGGTGTCTACTGCTTAGTTTTTCACAGGATTCCATTTCCGCGGGCGGAACTTAACTTTTAAGTGATTTTCCTTAAGGATTTATTTAATTAACAGCGATGAGGTTTAAATTACATTACTTAATTAATGGGACCAGGAGCTTGTGTTTGGGCGGGGGGCTTACAAGTCTTTGCCACTGCGTATTTGTGAGTGTGTATGTGTATGTGTGTGTGTGTGTGTGTGTGTGTGTGATTGTTACAGTTAAACTGCTGTCGCCGCTGCCGCCTCAACATTCCATGGCAAGTGAATTGGAGTTCTCGTTGAGCGCCTTGACGCCATTCTCCATTGGCATGACCAGGCTGTTGTCATCCATGGCCGCCTCATGGTGAACCGACGCCGACGTAGATGTTGACGGCCCATCGTCGTGCATCATGTGGCCATCGTGTCCATTCTCATGGTCGTTGCCATTGCTATTGCTATGGCCATCGTCCCAGTTGATTTTGAAGCGTGTGACGCGCGGCTTGCTGGCCAAGATATTACGGGTCAGTTTGTCGAAGAGCGGCTTGGGCGGCGGATTTTCGCGCATCTCTTGATCGGCATAGTCGTTGTTCACATAGTACCCAACACGCACAAATTCCTGGCCGCGATACGAACAGGTCAATAGAACAATTGTGACGCCGACCGCATCTGGTTCCGGAATTTTGCTAACATCTGGCGGATCGGCTTGGAAGACGAATATGTGACGGCCCTCGGGCACCGGGCCAACGTAGATAGTGTCCAGCACTTGGTCATACTCCTCAGACTCCGCGGAGCCCACGTAGATCATTTTCCATTCGAGATCCTCTTTCAGCTCCTCAATGCATTCGAATGTCAATTCGAACTGAAACGGATTGAAAAAGCTGCTAGGATTGTCCAGCACCACAACGTTGGTAATGTGCACCTTAGCCATGCTGACTGTACGCGCGGGGGCCAAAGACTTCTCTAGACAAAGATGACGCTGAACGGCGCGCTTTTTTGTTCGTTTTGTTGCGTGCGCTGTTGAAAGAGCTCAAAATACTAACTCAAAATCAACAAGCGCTAAAGAAAGTTCCTTCTGAGTCGGCACGTATTTTCTAATCAATTAATTCTCGAATTTCTCAATGTTTTCAAATTTATTTTGCGGTGTTTTGCAAAAAATGCAGCAGATTAACTCAGTGGACAGCGAATGACAGCAGCTGATAGAAGGCTTTCCCGCCAATTCCAGCTGTCAATACACGTTCAGTCTGCACGATACGACGCTGTGCATGTCTGGCAACGCTAAAAATACTAACAGTTTTTATTTACAGATTCTAAAAAAGTATCTTTAATTCCATTATATGACTTGGTTCCCATTAATAAATATATGATGCTAAGAATTGCAATGCTAAAATGTAGCCGATCATAAGTGTATATCATTTAAAATTTTTACGAGGAGCATAAACTGCATTCTGAATTGAGGAGGATGCAAGCAATGCACACGATGTTAGGCCAGCTTATCAATTCTAAAATCTCAATTTGTTCATCAACATGTAAAGATACAGACAACCCAAACCAGGTTACAAGTCACAAACAAACAATAAAAGAATAATATTAAGATACTTTTATTAACTATGTATGCCGGTTGTGCGGATTTATTGAACTTTAAATATCAGTGTGACCAGCTGTGGTATTTAACCATAATTCAAACTCGCAAAACTAATTTTGGTCACACCGCGAATGATAGGCCGATTTGGGAGGTGTTTGTGTTTGTGTTAATATAAACCAATATATTAAATATGATACATCTGACAGGCCAAAACTATAATGCGCGTGATATAATAAGGAACATATTTTCGCCATTGATTGGCGTGCTGAGCAGCAACTTGGCCGATGAGATATGCCATCGCAACAACTTGTCCTTCGTGGAGCTGCTGCAGCCGTTTGCCAAGCTGCCCAATGACGGTGAGTGAAGAAAATTAACTGGGTATGCCAGCCTGAAGCATGGAGGAGGAAACACGTAACAACAAAAGCAACTTGAACCAACCCAAGACCATTTATTAATGGATCCTGAACCTAGGAGGGTGTCGGTGCTGGGTTTGTCAATCCCAACACTAGCATAGCTACTGTTTTGGGCAATATGAAACGTTTGGTGATCTTTATATAAATTAAAATGGTAATTTCCTTTTGTCTGACCCACAGCGCACTTTCGGGATGTATCCGGAACGACTGTCTCTGTGCGTGGCCTGCGTCTCAATTTTTGTGACGTGGACTGGCGCCCACCACAAACCGTGCTGGCGCGGAAAATGCTGAACGAGTCGGTGACAAATGCGCACAATGAAAAAACAAGGGTCGCTACAATTGGTAATTATTACTTGAATTTAATTGTAAATATACTTTTTAGTTACGCTTAACATATATTTTGCAGCTGGCATCGATCTAGAGGTGCCCACAGCGGAGCCTTGGTTTGAGCAATGGCGGGAAACCTTCTTGACTGTACAGTTTCCGGCGGAGCACGAGTTTACTCGTCATTTGTTAAGCTGCCTGCTTGTATTGTCCAGCGCCGATACACAGATTGTTGATACAGCCCTTAAACTAACGCAGCGCGTGCAGCAAATGCAAAACATAACGCCACAGAAGCTGCCCAAATGGTTCCAGCCCACAGAGGTGCTCAACAGCTACGTGGTGCTGCACGAAGCTAGCCAAGGGGATCTTTCCAAGGCGCAGCAGGGCTTTGAGCTCTTGAAGTCTACATTTGGTGACAATAAGTGCTTCCTTGTTTCGATTAACTCCAACGAGGGAAATAGCGCCAGCGATATACAGGACTTATGGACAAACTATATTAAACGACAGCCGAAAGCCGATCAAATAACATCCAGTGAGCTCAGTGCGCCCAAATCACCACAGGAAGCTGTCTCGGTGATAAGCATGCCGGCAATGCAAATGTCGCAGCTAATGGATAGTCAGGTTGCACAGGAAAACGATCTCACCATGCTGCATCCGCTTAGTCCCATGCAAGAGAGCGCCACCGAGGCGATCAACTCCAAGTTCAGCATCAGCAGCGAAAGCATCGCCTCGCAGACAATCAATCCGAATGTCTGGGCCAACGAGCTGGATGCGGATGCACCGCATGGCGGCTGCCTGGCTGCACGCGATGTTGATAATTTGCGTCACTTTGTGCAGGATTATGCGGTGCGTGCTTTAATACCCTACGTTGAGCATCTGGTGGTCACACTCAGCGAAGGAGTCACAAATAAAAAGGGGGTCAGCAAATCGCTGCTAAGTGCCACAAAACGTTGGTTCGTCACCAGCAAACCCGGGGCAGGTGCCAACAATCAAAATGCTGTCATGTAAGTCGCAATTAATGTACAATGACTAGAAAGAATCGGCTAGGATATATTTTGTACGCAGCATAGAATTGCCTCAAGGCGTATGGAGGTAGGCATTATATTAATTCCATATCAGATATATATGTCGTGTGAAGGTAATTCTTAATAGAAGACGCCACTTTTAGTTGAACTTAAAAAAAATGACAATGGCTTTAAATCACATACCTAAATTATGAAAATTGCATAGAGATCTTTCTGTTAGACTCTCTTTCTTAACTGATTCATGCACTTACTATCTCGTATTCTCGCTTTATCAAATACAAATCGCCTTTCTACTCGATTTTCATGATCTCAAATATAACCTGCAGATTTTGATGACGTTATGTAAAGATAAATGTATATAAATATATAACTAAAAAACTGCCTTTACACAATTCACAGCTATACGAATGAATCAGCGGAGCTGCAAACGCGTAAACTGGGCGATCTATACTTTATGTTTGGACACTATAATCTGGCCTTTCAGTCGTATCACCAGGCCAAGCGAGACTTTAATGCGGACTCCGCCTGGCAGTACTATGCGGGTGCTTTAGAAATGGCTGCACTGTCAGCCTTTATGCTGGGAACAGCGCATCGCAAGACTTACGACTACATGGAGGATGCCATCGTTTGCTATTTGACTGTGTGCAAGTAAGTTTTCCATCTTCCTTATCGGTTACTTCAACAAAATCTACTACTTTTAATTTATCATAGGCTTCAGCAATTCGCCACACGTGCCACGCTGCTGAGCATGGAATGCTTAAAGACCGCGCGCCAGTACGGTGAGGTGGCCAAGCAGCTGATACGCATGACCAGCGAGGAGTCGGATCTGCGTTCTGCGCTGTTGCTCGAGCAGGCAGCATATTGTTTTCTGGTTACACAGCCGCCCATGCATCGCAAATATGCATTTCACATTGTGCTCGCCGGTAATCGGTATTCTCGGGCGGGGCAACGAAAGCACGCCTATCGCTGCTATCGTCAGGCCTATCAGGTATTCCAGCAGCGTCAGTGGAGTCTAGCCGAGGATCACATACAATACACAGTGGCCAAGCAGGCGTATATGCTGAAGCAGCTGGAGGAGGCGAGTCGCTCCTTTGCCCATTTGTTGCGTCCAGGCAGCTTGCAGAGTGCCCAGCAGCAGAGTAGCTTTCTAAAGGAGTACATACAAACGCAAAATGTAAGTCGGTTTTCCCTATTACTTATTTATTTACTCAATTTAATATATCGCAGGAGTTACTCAAGCGCAGTCCGGAGCTTGGTTTGTTACCACACGCTTTGCCTCAAGTAGTTCAGTCCTCGGTACGCGTGCTGACACTTGTGCAGCCGCCCAGCGTACAGCCGCCACAAGTGCCAGCCAGCAATATAGATATAAACTCGAATTTGACCGCTGACGAATCAATTTGGCACAAGATTGAGGAAATGCTGGTCATCACAGCCGCATCGAATAAGCCATTTGTATTTAAACCTTCGCGTTATTTGTACACCAAGCAACAGCCGGCCACAGAATGTCCGCTGGCCGTGCAGGGAGAGCCCATTGAGTTGGCCGTGACGTTGTCCAACAGCGTTCGCTGTCCCATTTCCTTGTCAGAAATTGATGTGTTGTGGCGGCTCACGCTGGACAATGAGGAGGTACTCTCTAATCTCTGCTTATACGAACAATCGTCGGACAGTGCCAGCAAAGCGGCTGTAAGTGCGGCCATCAAAACCAGCTGTCTGTCAGCCTTAGAGCTGGCGGAACAAGCAAATCAACTCCTACATTTCAAGCTAACACCCAAGCTTACCGGGCGATTATCCATACTGGGCGTGGTCTGTCGCGTCGCAGCCAAGGCGGAACCAACAGCTAGCTTGTTGGGTCTTCTGCAGTTTGAGACACAACGCATTAAACCTTCGACGGCTAAACAATCCTCCCAGACCCTGCTGGACAACAGGCTGAGCATTAAGCTAGTGCCGCAGGTGCCTTCCCTGAGCGTCAGCTTTAGTCCAGTGCCCAGCGAGTTGCTCGCTGGTGAAATTGTGCCCGTTTCAATAACACTGCGTAATTTGGGCATATCACCAATCGAGGAAATCTATTTGGGCTGCGATAATCCGCGTTGCCTGACCCTACTCGACCAACAGAATACTGAAATGCCACTAACTATACTGAGCTGTGAGTAAATGATCTTTAAGTTTACCATTTGAGAGTATTAGAAGTTTTCATGCTGCTTTTTTACAGCACTGCGAAACCTCTCGAATGACAAGCTGGTCAAGGACAAGGAGATACGACGTCAACGCGTTTTCCGATTGCTGCAGCGCCCTGGACAGGCTGCACTGGATGCACAACAGGGACACACAATATCCATGTGGTTGCAGGCACCGCACACCGCTGGCGCCTTTACCCTACGTCTACTCTTTTACTATGCGCTCCCAGCTGCTGCGAATGCACACATCAAATATCGTCTGGTTCGTCACATTTGGCAAGTGCAGGTGCAGAGTTGCCTGCAGGCGGAAGCCACTTGTGTGGTCAGTAATGCCGTGACCCGCGAACTGGGTCTAGATGTTAGCCTAAAAAATGTGCATGCGGCACAGTCAACGGAAGTGTATATTAATTCCTTGTCCTTGTACTCCAGGGAGTATTCGTTGAAGCCACGAAATTTATATAGTAAGTCAACTTGGAACCAAAAGACTAAAAATTTGGGAATAATGGTATTCCTTTCAATTTCCTGCAGTTATGAACAACATGGAATTGTGCGCTGGCCAAGCTGGTGCCCATTGCCTCAAATCAGTCAAATGTTGCAGCTTTCAGTGTCGACTGCAGGGCAAAGAGATGGATGAACTACAAGATATGCCGACACTTAAAACCCTGTTGCAAACACGCTTGTCACGCTTAGATATTATGCCGGCACAGCATGCGCAGCAGTTGGAGCAGCATGCGCCTCAGCTACAGGAACCGCACAGCTTTCTGGCCAACGAGGAAACCGTTTACTTCAACACAAACATAAGTACGGAGGAGTTCAATGCCAGCATTGCTAGCTATGAGCCGCATGCCACCATAGCGCTAAGCTGGAGTGCGCTAGTTCAACGAGACGATGTGCAGCGAGTGGCCAGCGGTCTGCACTTTATTAAGCTGTATAATCTCTACGAAACCGGCAGCTGTCCAGCCGTTGGTGAAGCTTTGCTTTGGCGTCGACAGTCCACAAGCGAGCCACATAATAAGCGGGAATTCCAATTGCCAGAAGATGCTGGCAATGAAGCTGCCAGCGAGCCATTGGCCGATGATGACATGGCTGACTTCTGGGAACCGAATGAACACTATGTGGCTCAGCGCTGTCTGCTTGAAGATGAGACATTTGTGCTATCAGCCAGAGCCTAGGTAAGCTTAACAACGTTCCAAATATTGTGTCTTTTGCATGTGATTATACAGATCTACATAGCTAATAAATTGATTGTTAATCTACATGTTATAATACATATAAGATACCTGCAAGCACTGGATAAAGCACACACATTGTATAAGACATAAACTAATTTAATTTTCAAATGGTATAGGAGAACTGAACTTAAGTCTCAGAGATCGAGAGATCTGCGTCGATCGACTTAGTCCCTTCTCCTTGTCTTTTACACTTGTTCAACTATTTATACCGGCTAATTTTCATATGGTATAAATATGAAAATTTAAAATTATTGTTGGAATCAGGACACATAAGAAAATGTCTATAGACGGAGATGTGTTAATTGTTAGTTTATTAGTTGATTGAATTAAAAATGAATTAATTGTACATGCTAATAGATTGCTTACTCATGTAACGTTAAAGTATTGTTAATTGCTTTTTTGGTATATGTATGTAAATCATAAGCAGTTGACTAGACAACGATGCGGTTTGCTTCAATAGATGTGGATGTCATGGCAGCGCAACGTAAATTTCTTGGTGGCAGGATATATTGATTACATTATTGGATTTAAGCACGTTTCTTGCTCATGTAAACACGTCCGCACGCATACAAGACATGCGTACAAGCATAAATATTGCCCAGAGCGCTGCCCAGCAGGGCGCCAATCACATTTGGTATGGGATAAGCCTGCCAGTCACGTCCCCAGTCCAGCGGAGCCACCACGCTGCCAGCCCAAGCGCCCAGAATGCCGCCGAGCGCATTGTACTTGAACAGATGCAACGCCGTATCCTCGCATTTGGTTATAAAGTCTGGCTTCTCGCAGAAACACACCTGCAAAGCGCCACCGCCGCCGAGTAGGAAAACTGTAGGGGAAACCGTTAAGAGTGTCATCAGCAGCGACAGCACAAACGTCTGCTCGTAGTTAGCCAACACTGGTGCACCCAGAATGATGCAGATGAAAGCGTAGAGCAGTGTGCACAAAAATTGCAACGTTAGACCACCGAGCAATTCGCGTGGCGTGAAATAAGTAGCCTTTTTCTGGCGCTGCTTGGCAGTCAACACGCCATCCTCAATGCGTCCAAAGAAGCGGGCTAGTATTACTTTGAGCAGTTCGCCAATGAACACAATTGGTACAATCAGTGAATCCCAAAAGCTGCCCAGATGTGCCCAATTCCGACGGTACTGCATGTAGGTCATGCATATCAGTATTGTGGCCAGGCTGAGTGACACATGGAAGAGCTGGTGCTTGGTCTTTTGCTGATCGAAACGTGATACCATATTGCCCACAAAACACGGAAAGTTGCAAGTATTTTTCTATTTACTTTCGATTTAGCTAAGGATGTGTTGTTAGCGACAAGTCGACAGTTCGATATGAAGTAGTGATGTGTAAATAGTACAAAATATCGATGAATAGAACCAAGAAAATATTTACTACGTTGTTAATTTGAACTAAACCAAGTTCTATATAAAAAAAATAATGTTTCGAAGAAGACATCCACAGACAACCACCGTGGGCCCCAATCCAGTGACTTATATTATCATATTTGGTAGATGACAATTTCGGGTAGACATTAAATTTAGCCCGAACCTCCTTATCTTCGGCATGAAATATTTTCAGAAAAAGTTAAATTGTTTCATTCAAATTTTGAAAAGAGATGTCAAAATAAGGGTGAAATCAAAAGCAAACTTTAAGGATGTGTAAGACCGGTTTCATAGGTCGAACCAATACAATTACCGAGTAAAATATTGATTAATCATTATGTTAAGATATTGCGAAATGTTAAAATGACAAACCAGTAATCTAAATTGATTTAAATCTAGAGTAGCCTCAATTTTTGGAGCGCATGAACCAGACTATTAATCCAGTTACTTATAAAAATATATATCGATATCACATATCGATTGTTTTGCAGCTAATTCGTCGCGCGGTGCTGTCATTTCATCAGCGCTATCACATAATCATTTTACACTTTAATTCTTTGCTGCTCCGGCACTTGTTTTTTTTATTAACTGGCATTCGTTTGTGTACAGAATCAATTGCAAAATGTTCACACGTGTCATACGAGTTCGCTCAATGCTGCGCGGCTTGTCCACGGCGGTTGCCTGTACCCGCAATCGTCATACCCAAAATTGCATGGTGGAATACTTCAACGAGGTGCGATTGCTGCGATACAAGGGAGCTCTGTCTGTGATGCAGACACAGCGCTTCTTTAGCCGAAAACGGGGCGATAACGAAGATGACCTTATGGGCGAGCCCGAACTTTTGGCTGATCACCGTGACTCGCAACAGCTGCCGGCGACCGTTGCCGTACCGGATGTGTGGCCGCACGTGCCCATGTTGGCGATGCGACGAAATCCTCTATTTCCGCGTTTCATGAAGATCGTCGAGGTTGGTTGCTTAAATTCGAAATCTATTATTATTTATGTTTAAGCGCTTGCTTTTTTAAATAGATCTCGAATCCGATTATAATGGATCTGTTGCGTCGCAAGGTGAAGCTAAATCAGCCGTATGTAGGCGTGTTTCTTAAGAAATCCGACGGAGAAGAGGAGATCATACACAAGCTGGATGATGTCTATTCTGTGGGGACATTTGCTCAAATCCAGGAACTACAAGATTTGGGCGATAAGCTGCGCATGGTTGTTGTCGCTCATCGACGTATTAAAATAACCGGCCAAGTCATGGATGATGTGCAGCCACCTACAAAGCCAGGTAAATGCCAGACATAAACACTACCCAAATATTGTGACAATCGCGTCGTCTCTTAACTCCCAGTGAAAATGACTACTTTGCATTATCCACTATTTAATATAAAATTACGCATCCCAGCTGAAGATCAATCGACTGGTGCTGCTGATGCAACAGCAAAATCAGCCAGTCGAAGCGCACGCAAGTCCCGAGGACGCACCCCACGGCGGCAAGCACACAAAATAAACGATACAACCACTGCTGGGGAGCTTGCGCAGCGCCAAACGCTGGAGCCACCGCTGCCCAGTGGACGTGTGGAATCAACTGAACCACCTAAACCGACCAAGCCAGTGGAAGAACTTGCAAAACCACCAACAGATGATAATGCTGGAAAGACCACGGAAACGTCTACAGCCGCTCCGCCTACTACGCCGCCCGTTCTCATTGTGGAAGTGGAGAATGTTAAGCAGCCGGCGTACAAGCAAACCGAAGAGGTCAAGGCCCTTACACAGGAGATTATCAAAACTTTGCGCGATATTATCACTATGAATCCTCTGTACAGGTAAGAGCCAATCTTCAGATAAGCGAAGTTTTATAATATAGCCATATTTCAACATTTCGCACTAAATCGAATGCTGCTTCTAGACATTTCTTTAGCCGTATTATATAATATTTTTTATGGTAAATAGTTTTGGTATTTTTAATACGACTTGAATCGAGCTAACTTATATAAATTTTGCTTTTCAAGCATTTTGCATGATCAGCATACTACTAGTTCATTTACCTAATAGGAATGCCGATTTTTGTTATTATAGAGAAAGCTTACAGCAAATGCTGCATCAGAATCAGCGAGTGGTTGATAATCCTATATACTTGTGTGATTTGGGCGCCTCATTGTCCGCTGGCGAACCAGCCGAACTGCAGAAAATTCTTGAGGAAACAGATGTAAGCATTTGATTTATGTTCTGTGCCTTTGACTAAGCCCATCCAATTTGTTTCCAATAGATACCGCAACGTCTTCTGCTCGCACTGGCGCTGCTCAAAAAGGAATTGGAGTTGTCGCGGCTGCAGCAAAAGATTGGACGCGAAGTGGAAGAGAAGGTTAAGCAGCAGCATCGTAAATACATACTCCAGGAGCAGCTGAAGGTCATTAAAAAGGAGTTGGGTATTGAAAAAGACGATAAGGATGCCATTGGCGAAAAATATCGCGAAAAGCTCAAGGATAAAACTGTGCCGGAAAGCATCAAAACTGTTATTGACGAAGAGCTGACCAAGTTAAATTTCTTGGAAAGTCACAGCTCGGAATTTAAGTGAGTCGCCAACTTTTACATATTAATGCATAGCTCATTAATTGTCTTTATTCTAGTGTTACACGAAACTATTTAGACTGGCTCACCTCATTGCCTTGGGGCGTCATTAGTCCCGAGAATTTATGCCTTGAAAAAGCCACCGAAATTTTAAACAACGATCACTATGGCATGGAAGACATTAAGAAACGTATCTTGGAGTTCATTGCTGTTAGCTCTCTCAAGGGTACTACGCAAGGCAAAATTTTATGCTTCCATGGGCCGCCAGGAGTTGGCAAGACGAGCATAGCAAAGTCTATAGCACGCGCCTTAAATCGCGAGTACTTCCGCTTCAGTGTCGGTGGTATGACGGATGTGGCAGAGATTAAGGGCCATCGTCGCACCTATGTGGGCGCCATGCCTGGTAAACTTATACAGTGCCTGAAAAAGACCAAAACGGAAAATCCGTTGGTGCTTATCGATGAGGTTGACAAGATTGGCAAGTGAGTAAACAAACGACCTATATAATCGATTAGTTGTGGTTAATATACATATATCTTTCACCCAAACAACAGAGGTTATCAGGGCGATCCTAGCTCTGCACTGTTGGAGCTCTTAGATCCGGAACAAAATTCCAATTTCCTCGACCATTATTTGGATGTGCCCGTCGATCTGTCACGTGTGCTATTTATTTGCACAGCGAATGTGATAGATACCATACCCGAACCTCTGCGCGATCGCATGGAACTCATCGAAATGTCCGGATATGTTGCTGAAGAGAAGGTGGCTATTGCGAGACAATACCTGATACCACAGGCCATGAATGACTGTGGTCTAACGGAAAAGCAGATCAACATTACAGAGGATGCGCTTAATATGCTAATACGCAGCTATTGTCGTGAATCTGGTGTGCGTAATCTGCAGAAGCAGATCGAGAAAGTCATACGCAAGGTGGCCTTCCGCCTGGTCAAGAAGGAGGGCGAAGAGTTTCCTGTGAATGCCGATAATTTAACAACGTTTTTGGGAAAGCAAGTCTTCAGTTCCGATCGCATGTACAACATAACCCCAGCTGGTGTTGTAATGGGCTTGGCCTGGACAGCAATGGGTGGTTCGTCCTTATACATTGAAACCTCCAGGCGTCACATACGAGCCGAGAAACCTGAAACCAACGCCGGAGTGTTACATTTAACTGGTAACCTGGGCGATGTGATGAAGGAATCCGCACAAATTGCTTTGACCGTGGCGCGTAACTTTTTGTACACGCATGACCCAAAGAACAAGTTCCTGGAGCAGGAGTAAGTAACAAGCATTATAGTTGTTTATTTAATAACTCATCTCATCATCTAATAACTAATCTATTGGACTTGACAGACACATTCACCTGCACGTGCCTGAAGGCTCTACGCCAAAAGATGGACCCAGCGCTGGTGTTACCATAATCACGGCCTTAATTTCGCTGGCCACTGGGAAGCCAGTGCGTCCAGATGTGGCAATGACGGGTGAGGTCTCCTTGAAGGGCAAGGTTTTGACAGTGGGCGGAATTAAGGAGAAGACCATTGCGGTAAGTTCGTTCGAAACCAATTTTAAACAACACCACTTTCAATATTTTATTGTATAGGCTCGTCGCAGCGGCGTCACCTGCCTTATTTTGCCTGCTGACAATAAGAAGGACTTTGAGGAGCTGCCCAAGTTCATAACCGATGGCTTGGAAGTGCACTTTGCCAGCGAATACGTGGATGTCTATAAGATTGCCTTTGGAGACGCAAAGTTAACGGAATTTCAAGGCGAACCTAACAACACATCTGAGGCGGCGCGTATTAAGATACCAAGCGCAGCCACAGCGACTGCAAAACCTCACAGCACATAGTCATAGCCACTAAGTTTAGGCTAAGCATTGGGTTGGGCCTAGGGGACACACACTGAGTTTACATATACCACTTAGATATGGCTAATGTTAACCAATTTATTAGTATTGACATAGGTATATGTATTTAGAGCAAAGCATTTGTTAATCTAATGCCAAGTAAATTGAATGTAAATTTTAATATATGTTCATCTTATATATCCGCATTGGCTATGACCCACTCCAGATAGCGATCAACGCGCGTGTAAATGCCTGGACGCTTCGGTTCGCCACAGCGCAAGCCCCAGGAGACAATACCAATGGTGACCCAGCGCTGATTTGGCAACTGCACGAGCAACGGACCACCGCTGTCACCCTGACAGCTATCCAGGCCACCCTCTGGATGTCCAGCGCAAATGACCGTATCCGGTATATGATCCACAATGGCCGCTTGGCAGTCCGATTGCTTCCATATCGGCAAACTTGCCTACAAAATGGCAAAGATAAATATTGTTTTAAATGGCAGACTCGTGACTGTTGACAGGCTTACTTCCATGAGTATCTTGGAGTGTGGACCATTAAAATTGAGCGTGCCCCAGCCCATGACAATGCCATTGCGTCCCGTCCAGTCTTCATTTAGCGGTGGCATGCATATCGGCCATATATATGTATTGAACAGTGTCGGCCGCTCGATGCGTATGATTGCAATATCGTTTTCGTATGTTGTTGGATTATAGTCGATATGGAGCACCATGTTACCAATGCGAAAGTCGCGCGCGCGCGTCTCATTCAATTGCTGTTCGAATTGCACAGGAGTTTGCGTTAACATATCAGAAATAACTCAACATATATATATTTACATGCGTATTGTACTCGCCCAGTCGTACAAATATGTCCTCCTTGGGACACTTGTACAGGCAATGGGCCGCCGTTAACACATGACGATCTGTGATGAGCACACCGCCGCACCAGACATAGGTATACCCCTGGCGAAGCAGCGCCACCATCCAGGGCCATTCATCGGACTCCGCTGGACGTCCGCCACTTATTCTAGGGAATTGCCGTGTAGTAATGCCGCATCCCCGACTCTCGGGACGATTGATAATGCGCGGTTCTTCATCAGCGGAGCTGCTCGCAATCTGTGGACTAAAACGTGACGCAGTCGACTGATCCGTACAGCAAATACCAATGGTACTGTAAAAATGAATCAAGCTTAAAGTAAGCTTTAATTATATAATGTACCTGTTACCTTTTCTCAATAACGCACAACTGGGAGACCAAACGCCAGACATCATCCTTCAACTCCGGCATGCGGCAGTAAATGATGTGCCGACAGCGACCGGTTTCGCCAAGCGACGTGCGACAGGCACCAAAATCCTTATTTTCCTGCAAAGTTTATGGTGTTAACAGACTCGCCTATGAACTATGGCGGCTAACCCAAAAGGAAGTCTCTGTAGTTCGAGCCTTCCGTTTGGTTTGCCGTACTAGATTGTCCACCTTGTACCCAGGTACAAAGTTTTCCTTAACACTTATATACCCAATTTTTAATTTCATTTTTTTTTTTTAGTTTTATTTTGGTTCAAAGTCAAGGATGTTCGGTTGATGATTTAAACTTGGAACTGTGAGGTAAAACCTGTCTTAAACTAGTTATAATATAATTTTAGTTTTATGGCTATTTTATAATCATAAGATTTTCTTAGTTCTGGCTTATAAGCCTGACTACTTACCAGTATTGGGGAAGCACTTTCAGCTGGTGCCTGTCGCTTGCTTAAACGATGACGTGCTAAAAAGTCGGATATGCCGGCATTGTCATTATCATAACTAGCATTAGTCCGGTTGTATTGCCTATTCTCTGCGGCACCCCAAACGAACTCATCATTGTCGTCTAGGTCCAGCAGATCTGTAGCACAAAAGCAACTAGGAGTCAATAAGGGAATTGTTCTCTACTCCAGCAACTTAACCCACCAATGTACTCCGTTGAGTAACTCTTCGCCAGCGTCAGCTCATATCTGAAGCTGAGCAGCACCACGAATATTAGATGTAGGCACTTCATCGTTGCCTTGAAAACTGAATGCGAAAAAAATATTTTTCTCGCAAATGAAATTGAAATTTTTATCGCGTGCCGCTTCCGTTGCCAGCAAGCGTAATTGTGTTTTCGAATAACTCTTGAGAAGCTGATGGAGCTGAACACAGTATCTCAGGCTTTCGTTGCCTCTCTCGTATATTTCTCTCTGTCCTCTCCAAGCTCAGCTTGGATTGCAATGGCTCACCTTGCTTGTGAACTTGTTTGAGGCGTTGACACTTTTGATTTTTCCTTATAAAATGAATTTTTTGTATGAGGTTTTCAAGTCGCGTCTTAAAAGTACGCAGACACGAATCCGACGAGATATTTTAATACCGAAAGCTCAAGCTCTAGAGAGCGTTTAAGCACGACTCCGACACTGACTGCCTCTTTATATAAATTTATATAATTATTTATTGTATTTATGGTATATATGTAGATATAGTTGGGCTTATCAGAGAGAACCCCTCATATGCCGGTCCCTTTTAATGCTTATGAGCTTTGGAGTTAGACCCAGTTTCCATTACATGTTGCCGACCTACCCATATTAGAAGATAATCCATATCCAAAGCTAATGTTGGGGCAACATTTATTTCACCTGACATTGTTGCCCATAAACTCAGTGAACGTGTTGTGCATTGTTAATGATGCGGTTCGGCGGGTTTGGGTTTCCATAGAAGTCGGCTCCACAATTACCAAAGAGTATATAAATAGCTGACTAAATTCTACATTTAATTGCCTTATATCAAAGCCCAGTGTCAGTTATACATCAAATAATAGATAAATCACATAAACCGGAATGAGAGAAGAAAATGTCGTGAGAAAGAAGTCGACTGAACAAAGAAAGAAAATGATTAATTAATACGTTCGTATATTAACTATATACAACTTGAGGTTTCAAATTATTGAGGGCTATACAATAAAATTTAGATCAGAGCGACAATTTATCATAAATCTATCCAAGTTATATCAGTCAAAAACATTTTGAAACATTGTTACAATTTATTACTGATATTTTGTTGTTAACTAAATACAACAGTATTTAGTGCATTATGCACAATATTACATATTACACATATCTTTAAGCAACACACATAAACTTAAGCTAACAAATTAACGTTTCCTTCTTGGGACATCAAAAATAATTTCTACAGGCGTTTAGTTTTACAGATCATATAAATATCGCTTTATAAAGATTAGCTTTTTTTTTTTGAATCTGGTATAGATTGTTTTATACGTAGTCTCCAAAAAGGGTTTCACAAAAATATAAATAGAGTGTGTCGTGCGGAAACCTATGCCACGTAGAAAGTTGTACGGTATTGCGGTGTAAACTAAACTAAATTAATCTAAGTTTATAAGTTCATATATGTATATAAAATCAGTACACATTTATTTGCTTGTATATATATATAATATTTATATATATATATATATGTATATAGGTTCTTGAAAACATTCACTACTACACACACAGCTAAATAGGTTCATATACACATCTATATATTAGGGTTTCAATACAAATACTATATAAACGCGTGTAAATTGTATAGTTATAGTTAGGTGGAGTTTGAAAGGTCTGACATTGTTTATTCGGCTCTGTTTATCATATAATGCTCTCATTGATTGTGCTGTACGTGTGAACTTTTGATAGAGAAAGGGTTTTAGATGAGATCTTTCTTTTATAATTTAATTTTTATCAATCATTTTTCAATTTTGTAATTTCTAATCTAGAAGTTGTTTGTGCTTTTTGCAGTCGATTTAATATTTATGTTGCTTTTCTTGGATCACATTTAGGTTAACATAAAGTAATGTGTTTATAGATGTAATTTTAGTATTTGAATGCAATTGGTTATAGTTTCGGTGCCATTTAAGCCCTTGTAGGAAGCTTGCGAATGGAGGGGAAGACTTAAATTTGTGCATTTTGCGTGTTGAGCAAAGCAATTACATGTTTCATAAAATGCTAGTCTTATTAATAGTTTCAACTTCTGCAGTGAGGGTAGAGTAATGAAAATGAAAATTAATATTTGACCAAATATTTGAGTGTTAGTTTTAGTTAGTTCTATTGCACTGCAGCATGTTGAGATTCTATAAATTGAAATGCAATTAAACAAAGAATTTAACATGGCAGCACTGAAATTGTTGTAGAGTGTTAGATTATTCGTATTTTTAACAGTAATTGCTCAATTCATGCTTATAATGCCTAGAACTATATTGGTCATTTAAGCATTGTATTAATGATGTGGACTTCCATTTTGATCTCCTTTTGCCGCTGAGCTTAGGTCAAGCTGATTTTTGATTATGTTCCTTGAACTAAACATGGACTTTTCTTTTAAATTTTTGGAGTTTAGTCCACCAGTCGAACGCCCGCTTCCACATCGTCGGCCATGGTTACGCCCTTGGACTTTTTTTTGCCATCCGCCGATGGCTTCTTCTTGCTGAGCACCAATGTCTCAGGCTCATCCTGGGATTGTTGACGCTTGCCACCAGCTGCTCCGCTGCTGGCGCCATTGCTGCGCAGCTTGAACCGCGTCGTGGCAGCGGCCGCATTGTTGTTGGCACAATTGCAGATGGCATCGAAGATGCGCACCACAAAGCCGCGGGCACGGTTAACAACTTTGCCGTTCTTAAAATCTGGTATGGCGAAACCTAACAAGATTAGTGCCAAGGCAGTCATATGAAAATATAAAATTAAAGGGTTCGGTGAGCGTTTGACGAGAAAAGTGCAACGAAAATATTCGCATGCGATTGAGGAAATAAAAACAAATTGTAAAATGAAGCTATCACAGAGTAAATAACAATTTTCATTAATGTCACTTTTAATTGGTGACCTGTCACTCTGATTTGCCACGCCCCTGCCCCAAAAACAAGCTTATAAAACGAGCCGTGCAACACATATTTATCGCAATTGCGTGTCATCATGAGGCTTAACAAATACAAGGATCCATTGCCGCTGTTCGTTCACTCGCCCAATTGCCGTCGGTACAGATCCTGGCAGCTGCTGCTCGGCCTGCTGCTTTTGTGGCCAGAACTCTGCGGGAGCGTGAATATGCAACAGTTTATACAATCGCTGGACATGATGCGCAACGGATGTATGGTCAAATTTAAGGTGCCACCGGAGATACTGAATCGCATACGCGACGGTGATTTTGACATGGAGCCCACTCAAGATTTGCTGGTGAGCCGGTCAGCAGGCCTTAGATTCCAGCAGCTGCTTTACAATTTGTTTCTTTTAGTGCTATACGAAATGCGTGGCACAGCTGGCGGGAGTTTTGACCAAAAAGGGTGAATTTAGTGTGTCCAAGGCCTTTGCTCAGGTGCCCATCATTCTGCCAACGGAGCTGCAGGGGCCAGCAAAAAGTGCGCTGACCCATTGCAAGGAAGCACGTAAGTACAGTAGAAACGACAGACTTTTCTCTGATGCTAACAAATAATTATCTTGCAAACAAAGTATATTAAAGATCTAAGAAAAAAAGAGTTTAAACTTAACAACTCTAGAGTAGCCAATTAAATAATTGCAATTTTGAATTATCAAGTATTATAATCTTAATCCAAAGATGCGAAACGAAACGCAGTAAAATTTGAAGAGGCAGATTTATGCGGAACATAAAATTAAAAATAATTCTTTTTTTCCGACCGTCTAAACTAGACCAAACAAATTTTTAGATTTCATTCAGAATCCTCAAACAAAAACTGGTAACAACTAATTTCCAAACAAAAAAGAACCTAGCCAAAAAAAATATTTGCAGTACTTGTTCACACACAAATGTCTTCCTATAAGATTGATCCGTTATATCTATAACATTATATTAGTTCGACGTGTGTCAGATTAATTATTTAATCGACAATTGGTCTGTTCGTTTACGAAAATACGAAGGAATTGCAAATTTTAAACCTTTATCCTAAAATTTTCAATATCAGCCTTATAACATAAATAGGTTTGCATTGGAACAGATAGAAAAGCTATATAATGGCTATAATATGGGTCTGAGAGGTCTGCTCTCATGCAAGGATATATAAAAGTTCATGTTAGTAGGTTACCAAAAATATCATTCTTGAATCTTTAACTTGATTTTTCAGAGTAAAACTTTTTAAGAATATTTTAATGGTTAACTTATAAATATCTGGGTGGGATCATAGAGAAGCCAAATTTCAACTGCTGATTTCCACTAAATCTTTTGCTAAGCCCCACTTCAATATACAAATATTTCTTTTGATTACAGAGAATGCCCACAAGGACACATGCGCGAAGGTCTTCTACATAAGCAAGTGCATGGCGGACTTTGATCGTGCACACTTTAAGTTTCCATAGCAACGAAAGAGGTAAAATTTTCAATATATTGGGTATTTTACTTACTCTGTCGCTTCTCCTTGCCCTGTGGAAAAAAATGCGTGTTTGCAATGCATTAAACGTTCGATTTAACGGAAAATAAATGTTTAGCCAACCTGTTGCAATTTGTGCGCCTCGAGCGCACGTTTATTGGCCTCCGTTTCAGCGCGTTGGGCCACCTCATCGATGAACTCGTGCAGAATGGCCATGTTGTTGGGATTCTGTTTAAATTGCTCGATGCGCGCCTCTAGCGATTCCGTTTCAATTTTGTTCACACTGTCTGGTGAGGCGGGCTCGGGTTCCGCAAATCTTGCGTGCATTTTTTGTGTATTTAATTGAATACTTGGAAAATATTTTACAAATTTCCTGCTACTCTTGAGCTTTGCCCTTGTCTAAAACACGCACACACACTGATTCGGTATGTACAAGGAGTTTGCTTTGTGCTGTGTGTTTTGGTTAAAAATCAATAGATGGCCACTTCTGGTGCTCCCGCACATGCGTGTTGGATGCGTGTTGCGGAGTGCACAATTGTAAATATTTGTATGGGGGTAGCTTTCTGTTAATGCTGTTTATTGCATGTCTTGTATAAACTAAGGTTTTGCACTTAAATGACTAATAAAAGGGGGCGAGAGGTGAGAATAAGGCTATTCCAGATGCGATAAATCATCCAGTTCGGGCGGTGCGCGCACTATTTCCGTTTCAATGATCAACGAATTGGCATCCACAATGCTCTGAAATGCGTATAAACAGCATATTAGAGTGGGGGTGTTTTTTAGGGATTTGGCAGGTACCCAGGACTGCTACACACATTATCATTGCTGCGCGCTGTTAGCAAACTATTTGCACCGCCAGCACTGCCCGTTGAGGATGAATTTGAATTTGAGGCATTGGCGCCATTCGCCGAAGACGATGACATCACCACACTGTGCGGTGAGCTGCCACGGCGCACCACCTTCGCTTGTGACTGCTGTGGTGAGTTCTGTGTAACAATCACAAACTTTTGCGCCGGTTGATTCGCTTGTATGGCGCGTATTTGCGGCAGGGCGGCAACAACAGGGCTGCTAAAAAATAAGAGAATAACTTATTAATATTTAAATTATTTCAAACAAGAATGTTCTACCTTACACAAACTACAAATTACTGTCTATAGCGTCAAATCACCTTCACCTCCAAGACAACATTATTCTCATTTTTGTTCTGGCTGTCTGATTGGGGATCAATGCACAGCGCAACCCGTAAGAGTTAGATGAAGCTTCACGCTAGGGCGGGATATAGGGAAATTCCACGAGCAAGTTTGAGAAATCGCGGAAAACGGTTGTATGAAACTTTTTTGTTTGCTATCCCTTAATCTCACATTGAAAGTTATTTGAGAAGCGTTTCACACTTTTCGCAAAAATAGTACAAGTAGATTTAAATTACTCCTAGGGCGTTAGATAGATGGAAAATTAATTTCTAAAAATGTGGAGCGAAAAACTTAAAAGGGCTAAAGCCGGGAAATATCAGATAGTGGATATATATTCATGTAATACAGGTTATAATTTATATCCATTACTAGATTCTTATTTCTAACACAACAATACATAGCTTTATAGATCAGTTAGACCAGGAGCTACACAAATAATAGCTTATACACAAGTGTATATCTTACCTCTGTCTTTGTGAGTTCGGCATGGACACGCGTCCAATGGTTGTGGCAGTTTGAGCGGCACTTGTTATGGGCGCCGTGTTGATGCTGCTTGAGGATAACGTGACAGTGCTATTGGCTGGTGCATTGCGCACCTTGACCACAGCCTGGCACAACGAAGGACCCAAAAAACCAAAATCTATTTTATATTCTTCGGCAATGTCTGGCGCTACGCGCATTTGCTTTAGTATCGGCGGGCAGCATTTTTGGAGCATGGCACGTATATGGCCAGCGGCCGTCTTATCGGTATTGCTCATCGAAGTGCCTAGCAAATGTGGCTCGATGCGTTCCGAGATGAACTTGAGGCGTGGTATAATAAACACTTTAATTACTTCACCGCCCAGCTCTGAGAGGCCCGCAATGGAACCATAGAGCGATGATAAATGGGTTTTATCATTTTGCAGAGCCTTGCTAAAGATCCTGTAAAGATGACGAATATCAAGGATGGTATTTCATTGGATGGAATCTTTAGTGAAATTACCGCGTAACACGCGTTTGCAGGTTATTTGTAAGCGTGTTGAATGTTTTGCAAATTTGTGCCATTAGGCGAGAGGCAAAGTCACGTAATGCCCAATGATTGTCCAACTCGGGGCGCATGCACAGCTGCTTGGATACTATGCAGGTCATCACAGAGGGTATAAGTTCATGTAGCTAAGAGAGTGAAAAGTTAATTGTGGACTCCATTAAGCTAGCTGCTGCGTTAACTTACATATTTCTCCAGGAAAAGAGATGGATTGTCCAGAAGGGCACGCACCATGCGCATCAAATAAATAAGCAGCGCCAAATTATTTTGGACGACATTAACTTTGACGCCCTCGGCAATGAACGTGCACATGCGAGGTAGCATTTCGTGTAGACCGGGATCAGAACCAAGCGATTGGAGCGCTTCTGCGCGCCTCGGCTCATCCGACCCGACACAGGCCTCGGTGATCTCTTTGTAGTACAGCTGCTGTTCCACAGATAACTCATGCGTAGCCAGCTGTTTGACGTGTATTGTTTCCACGTTTTTAAGTTTGTGTATTTTGCCAGTGGTGGGTTTTCCGGCGGCATCTTTATTGAGTCCTTGGTCTAGTTTAATAACGGGATTTACAGAGTCCATGAACTGTGAGTCCTTGGAGAGAGGTGGCGGATTTTCCGGCACAGTGGGTTGTATGCCCTCCACAACAAACCAATGTGAGCGCAGCGTCAGGTCAAGCGGTATCTTAACCGAGCTGTTTGCGGTTATCTCACTTAAATCGATCTCCTTGTCCTCAGTGAAATGCAACTCGCGACCGCCGCCAGAGGCGAAGCGAAAGGGTATAAAGTCCTTGGCAACAAATCCATACTGCGGCTCAATGTTGCGCACTTTTAGCGACATATCGATGTCTTTGACCGACAGCTTCTGGCGCTTGGCATGGTGCATGAATTTGGCGGCATCCTGTACAATGCGCTTCAGCTTAATGGAAACATCTTCTGCCAGCTCTTTGGCGGCGTCGTCGGATAGAGAGCCCACTCCGATGCTTTCGGCTATTACTTTCATTGATTCAGCTGATATGCTGGAACCATACAGCATGCTGCTAGCTGCGCTGCTAGTTTTGGACGATTTATTGCTCATTTTAACAAATAAACAAAGATTTTTCACCCAGCAACAGTATTTATCTTCTTCTTGCTACGGGTAGAGGTGGGCGACTAGCGCTGCCGATTGCCCTGATGACACATTCTGTTGGCTAGAATTATCGAACTAAAAAATGCTTGAGTTGGTTTTAGATCGACAGCGATTAAAATGTAACAATTTTAAATTGGACTTGTAAAGTAGTTAGCTATGATGTAAAATGATAATTAGGTAGTTATTATCTTCCTGCCTTCGCTAGGTTATGGTAAAACTGCGAACAGTGTTGGTAAGAAGACATTGCCCGGCTGATTCTCTATCGAATACTCGATATGCTGAATAATCGATGCGGGCAAAACATCGCTTCGTTTTGCCGTCCCTAATTCGTAGTTTCTTTTCTTTATTTATGTTCATACCTTGTGGCTTTTTTGTTTTATTATTGAAATTATAGATTATAGTATGCAAAATATTGCAAACGTTATGCCATAAACCATTTGAAACCTGTGCAAGTGTAAAATATGATTAGCAATTAAATTTAAGTGCATTAAAGCATGTCGCGTCGCGCCTTTCGAACAAAGCAGCAGCAGTGAAAATTCAACGCGAGACTGCAGGGTGAAAACGGCGCCATTTTAAGAAGCAAAACAAAGCCACACGCAAAAGCAGAAAGTAAAACTTGAATGCAATGCAATTAAAGGCGCAAAAAGCATATGCATATGCTCAAATAACAATTTTATTATCGGTGTGCATAATCAATTGACGCTACAAAAAAATATTACAAAACGTAAGTGTGCATGTGTGTGTGTGTGTGTTAGTGAGTGGTGCTCCCTACAGCCCCCGCCCCCTCAACACCGTTGCTGTCTGTGGCGTTTTGTGGTTTGACCTACTTAAATTGTCAAAAATTCTGAACGTGCTGTAATTAATGTGACCAGGTTAATATAATTTTGCTATTTTCCTCGCACAGCTCCGCCCTCGAGTCGAAATATGAGCAGTGGCCAAAATGAGGCATCAGCAGCAGCAAAAAAGGAAAAGGTTCTCGAAGCGCAGCAACGTACACAAGAATCCGGCAGTGAAAATGAGGTATGTCTTGCAAAACTATAAATATAATTATAATTCAGACGTGACGCATTAAATAACCACATAAAATTAACATTAACTTTTACGACACACATACATACACAAATACATATGTATACCATATGATAATATGCTCAGGTCCTTGCCGCGCTACTTCTAGAAAAATACAAGCTCTACATTTGGGTATTTCCAGAAAGCATTTATAATCAATTAACACACGTAACGTTTACTTTTTACGTTTTAAACACCAAACTATTGCCCATTAAAAGATTAACATTTACATATATGTATGTATTTTTTCATCATATTTAAGAAGTTCGATCATCTATATTTTGTTGTTTATCTATGTTGAGAGCATTATAATTTTGTCATGAAATGTGTAATATGAAATGTGTATATTATATAGCTTGCACAGATATCGATCGATCGAAAACTAAGTTGTTGTATTAACAACTTTCTTGTTGTTCATGATGTCTTAATCAAAATGGGCAATCACGAGTTCTATTATTCCTCACATATATGAGCACATAAATGAGCACTCTATACGAAGAATCCTTAGAAAAATGAGTTTTTTGTGGAAACATTTCTCATATATCTTCAAACCCCTTAGGCGTCTTTTTAAATGTTGTGTACATTAGTTTTGCATTGACCTAAGTTTATTATAGAAAATTAACATATGTTTGTTTTTCAGGAAACCGACTCTATTACGGATCAGTCGAGTCAATCGAAGTCTACGAAATCAGCAACACAATTTAGCGTGCAACGTTCGGATACTGATGGACTGCGCATGAAAATATCGGCTATAAGGAACCCGCCCTCAACAACAGCAACAAGTTTTACAAATTCAACAGCTACAAAAGAAACAGCAAAAACTACGGTTACAACAGTTGAAAACAGTTCCCGTAAAAAGCTAGCAAAGGTGCGAAAGATGAGCGAGGCTCATGAGTTGAGCGGGTGCTCAGCGGAGGTCAAGGAGAAGCATAGGGAAAAAGAGAAGGAGAAGGATAAAATGTTGTCGACGGTAAACACAACCAAAAAGATTAAAGTCAAACGCAAGAAAATTGCGC